CTACATATATTTAACACTTGTTTTGTGTCCCGGAGGTAAGATGGGGTCTGTGCCACCAATGGCTGAAGATAATAATCTATATATTCCCCTATCTTGGAGCTGAGGGATCCAATCCCACTAATGATCGGACGGCCCGGTGGATGGACCGGGTCCTTGTGGATTTTGGGCAAAATGTATAGTATAGGCAATTTAGGTGTTATAGGGCACAGAAAGGCTTTCTCTTTCTTGTTTAATATGTTTAGATCAAAGCCTTTAGTAATGATCTTCTTCAGCTCTTTCTTATACCCTACCGGAGAGCGACAGCTATCAGGCATCAAATAGCTCCTAAAGTAATCAACCCCCCGTCTGGCACCACATTCTTTGATGAATTGAAAGGGTTTTTACCCTTGTAATAAGTGTATTATTTGTAAATATAATGGTATTAGGAAATGCAGAATCAATAACTTTGAATCTTACATAACCAGGAAAAATTACACTATTAATCAATTTATCTCATGCAACAGTAAATTTGTGGTGTATCTCCTCCAATGCCCATGCCAAAAACAGTACGTGGGGGCGGACGACCAGACGACTTCGTGACCGTTTGAGAGAACATGTAGCCAATATCAAGAAAGGCTACAGAGAACATTCACTCTCAAATCATTATAGGCTGTTCCACAATAGTGACCCCTCCTCTCTCAAATTTGTGGGAATTGAAGTAATATCACCACACTGGAGAGGTCAGAATAAAACAAGAGCCGTGTCACAAGCCGAAACAAAATGGGTCTATGAATTAGATACCCTACATCCTAGGGGACACAACATCGAAATTGATGTTAATTGCTTTACAGCTAATAATTAGCACCCTTTATCATTAAGCTGTGTGACGTTTTTTCTATTACATTTTTGATTACATTATTAAGACTGACGAATATGGGCTTCTATACTGGTTTTATGAATTTTTAGCTATCCTATTCCTCTATGTTATTTTTTATGCTATCCTATTCCTTATTTTATGGATTTTTTATTATGGGCAATTTTTAAGGATTTATTCCCTTTCGTACATTTATGCATTTCTATATTTCTTTTAATTATTTATCACTGCACTTTGAGCACCTATACATGCCGTGGATGAATTAGTATCATTTCCCCCACAAGCTCACCAATTCAGGTGATGAATCACCGACTAGGGGTCTTGACATTATTATTACCATTATTCCCCTGGGATCATTAACCACTATCTGTGGTACTCAAGCGTTTATTTATACGTTTAGATGGCTGTGCATAATCATACCTCAGCTATCTTTATATCATCCTTGGTTAACAAACGGTGTTTCTATATACAGTTAATTCTGCTCCATTTTAACAGTAGAGAGATACTCCGTATATTAGTAATTCCCGTCTTTGGAACGGCTGTTCATTTAATTGCACATTACTATGTGTGTATTATTACTATTATTGCTTTTTATTGTATGTTAATACTTAATTGAAGATCTTGGCACTCGGAGCGCTTCTTTATACCGTGGGTACACTTTTATGCTATTTCCCTTATTAGTCACCGCATAGGTGCTGAATCAGTTGGGAGGAGGATTGAGGTTAATACACTCAAGTGTTAATTTGAATTGTTACCATATTTACCTCCCCTGGGATCATGAGCCATTCTTTCTGGCCCTAATGCGCTTTAATGTGCCCTGTCAGCTATGAGTGTTATGCCTCAGGCTGACAATTCTGTGTATCCATGGCAAAATGGCGTCTCTCCGCGAGCGCATGCACAGTTGCCCGCTCTTCGGGAAAATGGCGGCGAGTTAGTGCGCATGCGCGACTCCCCGCTGTTCATTATTTTAACACCCGGCGTCTGTCACGGAGCTGTCAGTGTTCTCCTCTGATGATGTGCCTTAGCACGAAAGGCCTCAGGAGGAACTGACAGCCTGTGACGCCTCATTGCCGCTCAGACCACCAGGAGGTCTGGCGGCCAGCTATATTTAGGTCAGTGACACATTTTTTCTACTGTGCTTCCAGGCACTTGTTAACACTATTTCCGACCTGTATTATTCTATTGCTTTACCAATAAAATACTTGATATACTACACTATGGGTACTCTACCACTTTTTGCCCCTCTTTTGAGGGGTTAGCAGACACAGCTGCATACTACTTCCAGAGGAGGGAAGCCTTTACCTGGAGGGAATCTTCTGTCCGGTTGACTCATCTCCATCCTAAGGAGGCTTTACAAGTCCAGCAGATCGATTGATGACACCTCTCCCTGGGGGATAAAGACATCTGTAGGATTTGATATACACATGCGCATTTCCTATGTGCGGTCGGTGAGTGCGCATTTCTGCCATTTTCCCGGATTACTCTTAGTTGTGTCCTCCACATTCACGGACCGATTATTTTATATTGATCGAACTTTTTATATCGAATTTTATATCGAACTTTTTATCTTGCCTTTTTAGCGCTGCACTTTATTTTATTGTTTATACCGGAAGTGGTTGTGATCACCTTTAGTGCCATTAGCTGCTTATTTATCTTCTCACTTTTAGCGCTCACTTTGTTACACATTAGATATCCCAGGTCTGTTCCCAGGGTGGCAGGTGCAATCTTTGTGATGTAGGAGCGCTGAACCTTATGTGGATGAGTTTTAATATGATGGGTGGTTTGTGGTCCTAGAGCAGCGGTGTCAAACTGGCGGCCCTCCAGCTGTTGCGAAACTACAAGTCCAATCATGCCTCTGCCTTTGGGAGTCATGCTTGTAACTGTCAATCTTGCAATGCCTCATGGGACTTGTAGTTTGTCAACAGCTGGAGGGCCGCCAGTTTGACACCAGTGTCCTAGAGGCTGCTCACTAGCAACTGTGGGGTCTTGATGGACCCCCAGAGGAATTTGTTGAAGTTTTGAAAGAATGGGAGCACCACACAAGCTTGTACAGACTTTTAGAAAGATTTGTATTTTGTAAAAGCCAAAGCATTTCTGTGACAAAGAAAATACCAAGTTAAAAGCTATAAATCTATAGAAGTACAAATACCTTAATGCATTATCAGAGCCAAAAAGGACATTGCTCCACTAAGAAGTATAAAAACCAGGGTGGCAGGGTAACACTAAGTTTACAAACAGTTTGAGTAAATACACCCATACGTGTACACCTGTAAATAAAAGTACTGGCATATATTTGCTGTAGCACCCTCTACTGTGCTACTACATAGGGTAGTGTATTGCAGGTAAAATCATTGTGGTGACTCATGGTAGTTGTGCGAGTCTGTGATTGAGGTTGGCTTATTGCAGATCAGCTGGATGACTCAACAGGTTGTGGCTCTATCGCCTCCTCCTGACTCTGGAGGACCATAGAACCTTCCAAAAGTCAGTAAGGAAGCAGTGGATACCTAATTTGCATGTTTATGGGAGTTCAGCCAGTCCCAGGTTTTGAGGACCTGATAGAGTGGTGGACTGGCCCATAACTATGGGAGAGTCAGGCTGACAGGGAGTCGGGTGAAAGATGAAGCGCTGAGGAGACTGGTGCCTGGGAGGGAGTACCCTAGGTCTAGGAGAGGCTGGGCTCTGGCTGGCTCAGGAGGATACATTCAGCAGTGAGGCATGATGATTGAGACCTGGAGCAGTGGGGAGCAAAGAGTGAGTACATCAGCACTCCGGGGGATCCACAAGGGGAAAAGACTGGCACATGTAGCAAGCTTTCAAATGATAGTGCTGGGCTCAGTCCTTTATTCTTGCCCAGGAGATTTTCTGAGATGCCAGGAGGGCTGGTAGTGTCAACAGGCTGTAGAGCTGGGAGCAGCTCTGCAGGGGGAGAGAAGATATCTCTGCATGTAGTTGATTTTTGGAGGGGCTGCTGCTACTGATCTACAGAGACTGACAGCTTTCACGAAAAAGAACAGTCCAGGCTGTGTCTTTGTACATAGGAAGGAAGTCATCCCCCTTCATTGATTCAAGCCAACTGAGCATCCTATAATCCTATTTCCCTATCCAAGTTGATTTCCTCTAATAAAATAACAAAACCAAGCTCACGGACTGGTCACTGTCTCTTGGATGCAAGTGTGCGTGAGAAATACCTGCTGCTTGGCTGTGCAAAGAGAGCTTAGGAGTACTCACAACACAGTGGCCCCTCATGAGGTTAATGCTACACTGCATATAGCATATTTTTTCATTCATTCTTCTAGCCAGAGTTACGCAGCATCTGTTGCTCATGGGCACCAAAAATACAGGTGTATTTTATGCTGTATGCCTATACGCCTGCAAATACGTCTGCATGCACAAGCCTTTAGTCTGTAAAAATGTAGCTGTAAATATAAAGAAGAGAGCATGCTTCTTTCAATAGCACCCTCTAGTATTAAATTTTTACTAAAATAATTACATGATACAAAGACTTGAAGTTCCATATTAGGGGATCATCATCTGGTGTGCCTAGAGAAGCGTGAGGTCAAATGAAGCACTGCCCAGGGCTACTATGGGGCCAAACATTTTTACTTTCATATTCAAGTGGACAAAGTGAACCTATGGCTAGGTTTTGGACATTAAGCAAAGCAAGCCTCTGTAGCTGCAGGTACTGTGGAGCAATTCATCCTTATAGCTCACAGTAGAAGAATTGAAGATTTTCATGTGATTCTCTCTGCAGCTAAATCAGTGTTTAGTGCCAATCACCTTCCCCTGCATGCTTGTCATAGTAGAATGTTTGACCGTGTCCCTACAGCCACTGCGTACCTGTGAAGTAACATAGGCTGTCTGCACACACCTTTTTGTAGCTCCAGCTGCATAAACAAACAGCTCATTCACACTGTAGAGGCCATAGTGCTCAAATGAATCAGGCCTTACTACTACTTATATGTATTTGTATTTCCTCCCAGCTGCAATGTAAAGATGTCCTCTCTCCAGCTGGAGATCAGTGCTGATGATGGACACCTAAAACTTTTAATCAACAAAGCATCTGTCAACCATCCTTGAAAACATTTTCATCTGCCCTGAAATCCCGAAAACACGCCTGATTATACAGATGCGCATACGTGGCTCATACCGTGCTTCTTTCTTTCGGATTCTTGGCATCTCTGGCAATCCGGCACACTGACATGTTCAGTTGTGTGAATTGGTATGGGATCTGAAAATCGGTACCGTGTTCCTAAGGGAGCAAGAAAATATTTTTTAAGTGACCCCATAAAAAAGGAAAAGCTATAAAGTGTAGGTGGTTATACTTGCCTACTCCTGGGGTCCACCTGTGGAATCTCTTAATTATAGTTACCTAGTCTGGTGCCCAATCTTGGAATTTTTGCTTTGCTTCAACACAAAGCCATCTGAAGAATCTTTCGTGTGTGTGTGTGTGTGTGTGTGTGTGTGTGTTGTGTGTGTGTGTGTGTGTGTGTGTGTGTGTGTGTGTGTGTGTGTGTGTGCTTGTGTGTGTGAGTGTGTGTGTGTGTGTGTGTGTGTGTGTGTGTGTGTGTGTATTGTGTGTGTGTGTGTGTGTGTGTGTGTGTGTGCGCGCCACCATGCCCTGTGGTTTCCCCTGCCAGTCTTTACCTCACTACTGTGTCTTGTGCGTGTCGAAGGCAGAGATTCTTTGGCTAGCTTTGCTGTTCAGCAGAACAAAGGTTCCAAGACTGGGAGTCAGGCCAGGTAACCATACGTTGATTACAGAAATCATGATTTTAGGACTACAAATAGATATTAATAAGGTGGAGATTCCTTGGGGGACTTTGCCATGCAGCAAAATAAAGATTCCAAGATTGGACACCAGACCAGCCAACCATAGACAGACAGAAACAGAAATTATCATTTTAGGACCTGGTCTGAGGTTCATTTGTGTAATCTCTAATTCTAGGTATCTGGTCTGCTGCCCAATCTTGGAATCTTTGCTTTGGTGCACCACAAAGGTCCCGCCACAAAGATTCTTGGATGGCTTTGCCATGCAGCAGAACAAAGGTGTCAGACTAGGTAACTATAGTTAACTACAGAAATGATGACATTAGAACTACAAATAGATAGGGCGTATACGTATTTTGAGAGTACCTCTCTTCATCAGAGCCTTCAGAAGGCTCTGATGAAGAGGGGGGTACTGCCGAAATGTGTAAGCATCTTCAGAACTCCAGAGCATCACTTTGGTCCATCCAGAGGGGTGTAATCCATTCTGGTTGTTCTGCTGGGTTTTTGCATTACATTTGAAGCTCCACATGCTTTGTGAGCTTAATCCTTTTTATCGTTAAATAAAAGGTGTCTTGCTTAATGCACAAGGATGGTGAGCCCTCTCTTTTGTTTCTACTTAGTGTTTATGGATTTCTCAGCCAGCGGTGGGCAGCAAAGTGGAGGCTAGAAGACCAGGGTTGGGAGCTGGAGATGCTTGGAACTTAGAGAGTTTTACTCCCATAAGGACTGGTGTCATACCTTGGCGCAGAAGTGATCTTGTTTTATGGAGATAGTTATGGCCCATAAATATATACTTTTTTTGTTTTGGATCTCTGGCTCATAAATTAGGGTAACCAGGCAACTAGCATTTTCAAATGCGCCAGCAATGGTGGTTTCCATGTTTCTCACATGATAACTTTACCATAAATTCTAATAACTCGCCTGTATATGGCCCTTGGATTCCTTTTCCTCCCTGTGTAGCTTGGTGAGTAGGGCCATGGTCATGTGGCACAGAGTTTCTCTCACCGGTGTTCTGTGAATCACATAAATCAACATAAAAATATTTGCATAGATTTTCTCTCACAGGCAAAAGGACCACTAAGGGTATACCCTACCGGTGTCACACATACTATTGGGTAGTTGTTTAAGTGCATTTTGCGAAGTGGAGCCATGACCACAAAGGAGCCTCCCGCACACCCAACAGTTTCCTAAGGGCTGGTTCACATTATGTGCGGTGACCTGTATTTTTCTGCCCTGAATAAACACCGGTTACTACTACGGCACATAGATAAAGATGCCAAACCTAATGATGCATTAGCCTGCATGGTAAAATGTCGTGTTTTACCATGCAGGCTAATGAAAACCTAGCCTTACAGTGATAGATGGCCTAACTGACCAATAGTATGAGGCGGGGAGAAGACGGTCTTTAATTTAACATACTAAATATGCTGTAGTTTTTTGTTTTTTTTTGTTCTTTTTAACAAAACACTTCCACAGCATGAACACAAACCCAGGGAATTTTCCACTAGCGAGGCAGAAAGCTTAAAAAAGTGTAATGACCATGAAAGGATAAGTTGCTTGAGGCAGAATCCGCTTGTAAGACATCTATTGGTACCTAGTTAGCGTCCTACCATTGCTTAAGCAATGTTCATCAGTGGTTTTCATGAGCGGTTCTTCCCTCCCCATTATGTATGAGGAATGTACCAAAAAAATGCAAACGTGGGCTTTTTTTTATTAACGTACATGGGTCGTTCAAATTTCACATGTTGGATAGTAACTCTTTTTTTCTATAGCAGTGGTCTCCAAACTGCAGCCCAGGGGCTGGATGCGGCTCTTTGCTTGCTTTTATTTGGCCTTTGGGACGTTATTTCTCCCCTTGCCACCTATGATGGAGCACAATTCCTCCGAACAATACGAACGATGGGGCACTATTCCTTTCACTAAAACAAATGATGGGGCTCTATTCCTTCCAATGACACCAACAATGGGGCACTTTTCCTTCCACTGACACCAACAATGGTGCACGTTTCTTTCCACTGACACCAGCAATGGGGCATTAAGTCTCCTACGGATACCAACGATGGGGCACTATTTCTTCGTCAACAATTGGGCACTTTTCCCCCTACCGGCACCAACAATGGAACACTAATCCTTCCACTGTTACCAACAATGGGGCACTAATCTGTCCACTGATACCAACAATGAGGCACTAACCGTCCACTGACACCAACAATGGGGCACAATTCTCTGATTTCCACCAACAAGGGAGCACTATTCCCCCAATTGGCACCAATGACGGGGCACTATTCCTCCTCCTGATGCCGGAACACTTTCTACTTCCACTGGCCACAATCCGGCCCCCCTAAAGTGTAAAGAACAAACTGGCCCTTTTGTTTAGAAAGTTTGGTGACCCCTGGGTCTAGTAACTAATCTTTTTCATTGCAGGCAAATAATGGATTCCAAGCAGAGGGAACATGCAGTCATTGAGTTCTTGATGAAGGAGGGGTGCAGGCTGTCCAACATACACGGAAGGCTACAGAATGTTTACAGAGATAACACCTTTTGACTAGAGTCACCAATGACAAGACATTGCTCCTGTAATTGGTGTCATCTACGTAAATATTCTGTAGCCTTCATTGGATGATGGACAACCTGAACCCCTCCTTCCTCAAGAACTCAATAACGGTATGTTGCTTCTGGTTGGGATCCACCGATTACCTGCAATGAAGAAAAGGAAAGGGCTTACGCCCGATTGTGATTTTTATATGTACCATTGCAACTATGTGAACTGTGCTGCTTGAACACTTATGCACTTGTTCTGCTTTGTTCTTTCTCGTTGAAAAGGAATTTCTAAAAAACGACTGAAACAGAAAAAGGGTGTTACAGAGGAAGAGTTACTCTACCAACATGTGAAATTTGAACGACCTGTCGTTTAATAAAGAAAGTTATGTCCACTTTTGCATTTTTTTTTATATAACCCTGGTATTATGGCTACAGATCTGGTTTTAATTACTGTGTGTGTTTTTATAATATGGTAACTGTTATTAGTAGTTGTATAGCTTTTCTGACATTTTGTAGACAGTCTCTTCTTGGATTCCAGCAAGGTACAATTTTTTTTTTTTTCTTTGGGGGGGGGGGGGGGGTTCATCATGTAAAAAATGTTAAACAGATTAAAAAGAAACCCAGCTCTACAACATTGACTCATTCTCTGGAATCAGCTATCCTCCTTTTCCTGAAACACTTACCTGCTCTTGAGTCATTTACTGGAGCCCTATGGCTGTACATAGCTGAATTCAAGCCAGGGGAAAAGTGAGGATCTTCCTCATCATGTTGCTTCCTGCAAAAAACAAATACATAAGATTTATCTCATTTCATTAAAACCAGTTTCCATCTCGCCTCATTCAAGGCTCAGATTGGAATGGTGTGTGGTGTAAGGGACCTGTACAATCTAGTGACCGCATGTATTGCATTTCATCCTTTGAGTAGGTAATGATACAGAGGTGATAATATGACTTGGGCTGGTTCACGTCACAGAATGCAGTCCGGATGCGTTTCTGCATGTGTTTTAGGTGCAATATAATTTTTAATGCACTGCGGTGTGCTTTGAATGCATTTTTTGATGCATTTTTTTGCCCTTTTTTTTCTTCACCTTAAATAAGGATCTGTGCTTTTTTATGCGTTTTACTGCGGTTCAGTGCAGAATAAATAAAAAACATGCTCTACTCTTTTTCTCTGGAACTGTATTGCACTGGAACTTATTGTTCTGGTGTGAACTATGCCATTGGAAATCCATATAACCTGCAATAAAAAACGCACTGGACTGCATGTGATGTGAACTGGCCCGAGTATTGGTTAAAGCTGAACTACCGGCAAACAGCTAAATGCACAGATGAAATACATGCATGGTAGCTGCTTTACCTGATAAGGATTTGTATACTGCCCATTCAGTCCTGAGATTTACACAGCCAAGTTGGTGACCTGACTCTTCCCTACTGCAGTTCTGTAATACAGGTAGGTCACCTTCCCTGGCTATCCTGTGATTGGACAATACAGAAGTAGACTGAAGAGGTCAATCATTTTTCTTCTTCTGATAGGATAGGTATCTAGTGCTGTTCTTTCCATTCCAATTCTGCATCTTAGGCTGCATTCACTCTTGGTGTTACCAGAACACACAAGAAAACGCACAGAAAAATGCATGTTTTGTCGTGTGTTTTGGAAACTTGCTGCAAATGCGCTTTGCACTTGTGATGCCATTAATTGTTAATGACACCCCAAGCCTAGTTGACAGTGGGCCGCCGCGTGGCAAATGTGCATGCTGAAAAAACTTGCTCCACTCCAGAAAAGGTTCTGGAGCTGCTTTGGCGTGTGTAGGGCGGACCTTCAAGTGAATGGGCTGCCCTATGTACAACACGTGAAAAACAATACAAAAAGATGCACCAGTCCCCTTCATCAGCGCTGTCAGCCTCCAAATTGCCCCGGATACATTTAGTCTAATGGTTGTCACATTGTAACCTGCAGTGAATTCATATGGGCTCGTCAGATGACCATCTGGTGCTCCTTTCTTGATTTCAATTCACTTTCTAAATTTTGGAGGCCACCAAACCTTTTAGAGGGCTCCTGCATTGTGGCAGAGTAACCAAGGTCTAGTTTTCAAGCCCAACCAACATCTTTTGTTTAGAAGGATTCAAAGTACCATCCCAACACCTCACATCTACTTGTTCTGGGGCTATCACCAAAACAGTCAGAGGTGTTCCTTTTTAATATGAAACTGGAGGTTCCTTCAAACCTCTTTGCACTGAAGCGTCCCTGCCTCTAGACTCCCATGTATATTTTTTGCCAAGATTTGTCAACTGAGGAGATAGAGGAGCACTAATGATCAGATGAGATCCTGTAGGATCTCCTGCTCCTCCCCTCTCACTTCTCCAAGACTGGCTCCAGATTGCACCTTCCACTGTTAAAGTGACATCAAATGATATTCATATTCTCCAAAAACATAATTCATACACATCTTCTACCTGATGGCCCTGTAATCTACTTTTCATTAAATTTCTTACTGTATTTTTCTGGCTTCACTGTGAGCTCCTGAGCCTCTCCTTCTCCCCCCTTCACTGGTTTGTTTGGAACAAGCAGTACACATTAGTTGCGGTCATATGCACTTCTCTATGCACACTACACATCCCATAGTCCATCCCACGAGCAAGCAAGAGAGGGTGGCTACATTCCTTCATATAGTGGGATCATGGAGAATGAATGTAGCCACCCTCTCTAAACAGGAAGCCAGATCACAGCAACAAAAAACAATTTGGGAGGGCAGAGAGAGCAATAGTGTTGTTGTTTGTTTTTTTTTTTTAAATTAAGAATACATACTTAGGGGTTGATTTACTAAAACTGGACAGTGCAAAATCCGGTGCAGCTGTGCATGGTAGCCAATCAGCTTCTAACTTCAACTTGTTCAATTACGCTTTGACAAAAAAAATGGCAGCTGATTGGATTCTATGCAGAGTGGCACCAGATTTTTCACTCTCTGATTTTAGTAAATAAACCCCTTAGTGTCACGTTAACGCCTTCCTGTAAAGACCAGAAGTTCAGGGAAGCAGCACTGAGAGAGCAGCACTGAAAGTTGTAAACTGCAAGCACTGGGGTAAGAATACTGACAAATAGTTTACTGGAGAATGTTTATTTTATTTTTCTCAATGTGTTGCGCTAAAAAGGTTGAATACTACTTTAATCATTTTGCCGACTACCCCATAGCAAATATACTACTACTACAGGGTGACCGCGCTGTGCACCATCATGTATATAAACATGACTCTACACTTCCTGGTCGTGGGTGCAAGTGCGTGCCGTAAGCACACCGCTTCTGCTGTGATTGGTCACACCAGAAGCCAATCAGCGGGTACAGGCCAATGGATGAGCGTCGGCACCTGCCGATTGTCTAGGAGACTGACAGAACACAGCTCTGCCAATGTAAACAAGGTACAAGCAGGGAAAGAGAATCCAGCACATTGGCTAGTGAAAACAGCACACACAGTAAACATTACACACAGCTAGGCACACAGTTAACCCCTTGATCACCCTAGGTGTTTAATCCCTTCTCAGCCAGTGTCAGTACAGTGTTCCTGTATATTTTTAGTACTGATCACTGTATTAGTGTTACTGGTTCCCACAAAATGCCAGTTGGTGTCAGATTGCCCGCCGCAATATTGTAGTCCTGCTATAAGCTGCTGATCGCCACCATTACTAGTATAAAAATAAATACAAATTCCAGTATATATACCAGTTTGTAGATGCTATAACTTTTGTGCAAACCTATCAATATACGGTTATTGGGATTTTTTCACCAAAAGTACGCAGCAGAATAAATATTGGCCTAAATTTACGAAGCAATTTGATGTTTTTTTTAAATTTTTTTTTTTTTTTTTGGGGGGAAAGGTTTTATAGCAGAAAGTGTGTTTTTTTTTTTTTTTTGTTTATAGCTCAAAAAAAATTTAAATCCCAGAGGTGATCAAATACCACCAAAAAAAGGCTCCATTTGTGGGAAAATGAAATAAATTTCATTTATGAACAGCACTGCATGACTGCGCAATTGTCAGTTAAAATAATGCAGTGTGGTATCGCAAAAAATGACCTGGTCAGCAAGGGGGTAAATCTTCCGGAGGTCAAGTGGTTGTAAACCTGACATGAAATATATACAAAGCATATCCCTCTACAGTGTGTACTTGTCTCAATTAAGATCACTAAGTGTCTTTTCTTTCTGCTGCTTCATTCTTCGCTATTAGCATGAATCACTTGTCAAATTTTCCTGACACCAAGAGATAAATGGTGACAGGGGAGGGATCTCCAGCAGATGGACAGCCTCAGCTCTGTTCCTGTGAGCTGTGTTGGAGGTGGGTGTGTCCCTTCTCTCCAATCAGCTCTCAGAGCTCTCCTCACCGAGCTTTGCAGTGTCATTTCAGCTCTCCATCCCCTTTTTCTGAACTCTCAGAAAGCTTTTAAAAAATTCTGCATTTTGAATGGATGTACAGAAGGGAAGACTGCAGATAAACAGGTACAACTAAATTAAGAAGATTTGTTTCATCTCTGTGTATCTACTGAGGCCAGTCACATCATTTGGTATATGGAAGGGTTTACAACCACTTTAATAATAATGATATTTTTGTTCATAATGCCATTCACTCACTGAACAATGGCTGGCTTCCATAACTTCCCCCGGGCTGGTGAGCGGTTCAGGCTGTTCTCTAGGTGGTGACGGAGCTGAGTCACTTCCTTCTGTAAACTGTGGATGGCCTCACTGGAGGGACAGAAAACAAAAAAAATCCAAGGAACGTCAATAACAGAACAAGCCATGGCATGGTGTACTGGAGCTGCCAAGCTTTTAATATCTCAGAAGTGTATACAATGCAGAAGATACATCAGCTTTCCTAGTGAACAGCTGGCCAAAGGCAGAGAAATCAAATGTGTTATCGCTCTGAATACTCACGGGACATTCTCAGCCAGCTTTTCCATATCTGAGAAGTTTGACAATATTATTCCTTGTGTGCATGCATAGACACATCGGCGTACACGTAGAGGTTCACAAATAATATATTGATTGCATACATGCACATAATGCCCATACTAACAAACTAAACTGGCACACAGCAGAGCAACAATCCTTCATCTGTGGAATCCAGCAACACCTAGTTACCTGTAACCAAACACAAACCACAGGAGATCCGGGACGAGTCAGGAAGAAGAGGGGAGGTGTAGAAAACTGATGAGGTATTTACTGAACAAATATTGTACAGGGAAGGAAATCGCCAGTCATTCCTTATTATTACTCATCCATGTCTTGCTCTGAAGATCCACTCTTCCAAGTCACACACTGCATTTTTAGGAACCTCCCTCTGTCTTCCTATGGCGTTCCATCACCAACTGATGCTTGGCTCTCCCACAAATGCCTATCCTAATCTCCGACCCCCAGCTAAGAGAGGTGAACCAGAAAGGACTATAATCGCTTTTTTTTTTTTTTTTGCCAATGACCAAGAAGACACCAACCCCCTTACCCAATGGGAACCAAATGAGTGTTTTTATCTGCAGAACAGTAATTCATCTTGGCTCCCACTGTTAGTCTCTCCCTCCCATCATTTAGACTTTCTCCTTGATGAAATCAAACTAGTAAAATCTCACAGACACAACTATAGTAGTAACCACTGAACATAAAAAACCTTAGCGACAAACAACGTGACCTTTTTAATGGGTAATGGCAAAGTTCAACTGACCAGCTGCAGAAGCACTTACTAGGAACAAGCAGCAAATGGGTAAACCCTTGGAGAGGCAAGATCACAATTAGAACGCTCACATTTTTGATGCTCAAGGTCCCCTTAAGAAATTCCTGTTCAAAATAGCTAACCCTGTCTGTAGATTGTATAGAACAGGGTTTTCCAACCAGGGTTCAATGGAACCCTAGGATCCTCCAGAGGTTTTCTAGAGGTTCCTTGAGTAAAGAGCAACAGTTGCCTTTTATATAAGTTCCCACTGACAGCATTGATCTTTTTAGCTATCTGTAAGGAGGTGATTCTTTGTAAAAATCTCAGAATATACCGACATAATATACCGAGATTCCTCCACTGATCCATATTCCCACCTTGAAGCTATGTATGCTTATCTCAAACACTCTGACCTTCCTCTTCTGTCTAGCAGAGAGCAAAACCTTGGATGAATGAATCTCTGTTGAAGAGGTAGTCAATCTGTTCCGTGAAACCAGGCAAAGCTCCAAAACTCAATGAATGCACTTTTTGGTAATAAATGGTTATTATTCCTTTGACCAGCCCCTCATTCCTATATTTACCACAGCATTCATCACATTTTAGGTGGTAAATGCCTACCAAAAGACACACTTTCTGAAAATGTGTCAGATCCACAAGGAAGGTACGACCCTCAAAAAGTGCATTAGCTATTGGCTCATTGCATTGTTAAACCTAGACCTGAAATTTTTCATGGAAATCCTTGCAAACAGTGTTCTACCACACGTCGGCCCTGATTCACTGTGACCAAGACGAAATTATCCTCAAGAGGAATACCCTCCAAACCCTCAATCTAATCCATTATGCCCACCAACCTAAACCTCCACCCTTGCTCCTACCGACTTCTGCTCTATCTACTGATGCAGAAAACGCATTTGATGGGGTCAACTGTTACACATTTGATTAAGGCTAAATATGAATATTTAGATCCAGATGTTTTACTCCACCCTTCTCTGCAGCAGTCAAAGCAAATGGCACTCTATCCAAAGCCTTCAATCTTATCAATGGCACCAGGCATGGTTGCCCACTCTCCCCCCTTATATTTATCCTTACCACACTATAAGAAACACACTATAAGAAAGTTGGAGGAAAAATTTTGTAAGATGGTCAATTGTTCGATTTTCATATAGTGTGTACACAACTTTCGACATCAAATTCAGACTTTACAAATGGAAATTTCCGAAGGGACAAACTCCAAAATTTTTCTCTTGCGTAAAAAGAATTAATGATTTTTGTTTAATATGTACAGTTTTTGTACAAGACAAATTTGGATACAAAAGACTGCGCATGATCAGAAACAATGAACAATATTAATCAATGCTATAACTTTCTATGTCAAATAAAAAGCCTTTGTTGTTCGAGAATTTTTGTACAGTTATTACCATCCTTTGGTTTGACTTGCTGTGGAAACATAAAGGAAAACCAGACGAACGTTTGTCCGATTTTTGTTATAGTGTGTACCCAGCTTTAAAAGAGAAGTAAGGCCAAAGCTTTTTTGGCCATAATCCTCTTGTGAGTCACAGGAGTGACTACTCATTAGTAATACCTCATCTGGAATATGCAGTTCAGTTTTGGGCACCAATTCAGAAAAAGAACATTGGGAAACTGGAGAAAGTACAGAGAAGGGCAATCAAACTGATAAGAGGCATGGAGGAGATCAGCTATGAGGAATGATTAGAGGAACTGAATTTATTCTCTCTTGAGAAGAGGAGGTTAAGGTGGGGATATGATCAACATGTATAATACATAAGGGGGGATATGATCACCATGTATAAATACATCAGTGGTTCATATAGTGAACTCGGTGTAGAGCTATTCACCCTGAGGTCATCACAGAGGACAAGGGGGCACTCTTTACGTCTGGAGGAAAGAAATGTAATCTCCAAATACGGAAAGGTTTCTTCACAGTGAGAGCTGTGAAAATGTGGAATACACTCCCTCAAGAATTGGTTCTGGCCAGCTCAGTGGATTGCTTTATAAAAGTCCTGGATTCTTTCTTGGATGCACGGAATATAACTGGATATTAACATTTACAGGTAAAGTTGATCCAGGGAATATCTGTTTGCCTCTCGAGGAATCAGGAAGGAATTTTTTCCCCTTCAGGAGCAAAATTGGGCCATGCTTCGCTGTTCTTTTGTTTTTTTTTCTTTGCCTTCCCCTGGATCAACTGTGGGTATAGGATTATGACTTTTTTTTTTTTGGTTGAACTGGATAGACTTATAGTTACATATAGTTAGTTTGGCTGAAAAAAGACATGTTTCACATTGATCCGTGCCAAAAACACGGCAAAAACTGTGCTTTTGCTGCCATTTTTACCTTGCTTGCGGTGTGTTTTTAACATGACTTGACTAAGACACTACACCAAAAAACACTCCGCGAGTGTGTTTTTGCTGCATTTGTGCTGCATTTTCAATTGATTTTAATGGGGAGGCACATTTTTGGTGCGCTTTTTTTTCTTTTAATTGTACCAAATCTTAAAGTCCTGGATTGTTTCTTAGATACACAGAATATAACTGGATACTAACCTTTATAGGTAAAGTTGATCCAGGGAATATCCGATTGCCTCTCGGGAGATCATGAAGGAATTTTTTCCCTGCAGAAGCAAATTAGATCATGCTTTGCTGGGGTTTTTTGACTTCCTCTGGATCAACTGTGGGTGTAGGATTATAACTTTTTTTTTTTTTAATGGTTGAACTGGATGGGCTTTTGTCTTTTTTTCAGCCAGACTAATTATGTAACTATGAGTGCTCTCCTGTGACTCAGACTCAGCTGACAGTAGCTTAAAGCAGCGTCTGCTGACGTCACAGAACCACTCTAGTCTCTGGAAGGACCCAGCCATATTGTCGGGATCCACCCAGATACCTGGCTCAGCCTCTTAGCACGTGGCTGAGCTGGATTCAAATGTTCCCACCCCCTCCCTAGCCTGGAACTGCAGTAAGTACAGGCAGGCACAGCAGAGACCAATGACTGATAGTTATTGCTCTCTGTTCAGCACTGACCAAGAATGGAGTGATCATCAGTCATGTGATTGTTCAGTTCTCAGGCTTAGAGCTGGAGGGGGACAGCTGCAGCATCACACCGATGCTGCAGCATGGAGTTGAGTATGTGTTTGTTTTTTTTTGTTTTTTTCTATCAACCCCAAACTGATCACTGTTTTCCACTACAAAGCAAAAAAAAAAACAATTAACAAGTGTAGCAAGAATATATGGATTCCCTAGTAACTTTTTGGACGTTCCAGAACCATGGACTTTGATATGGAGTTACCTCCTCTCCTTTTAACTATATCAGCTTCCATTCTTTTGGAAAGTTTTTAAATAAGGGTTTTGAGCATAAATATGGGGATTTGTACTCCTTCAGCCTAAAGAGCACTGCCGATGCCAGGTACTGATATATCAGATAAGACCTGGCTCTCATTCCAGTTCATCCCAAAGCTGTTCTGTAGCGTTGAGTTCAAGGCTCTGCAGGCCACATCACGTTCCTCCATCAAACCATGTGTTTATGGAGCCGGCTTTGTGCAAAGGGGCACAGAAAAGCACCATCCCAAACTGTTGCCATGAGGTTGGAAGTGCACAATTGTCCAAAATGTCTTTGTAACATTCACCTAGTCTGCCGACACATATGAAGGTCTGTCTACATACATGTGGCCATCAAGTAGATGTGATGGTCAGGTGACCACAAAACTCTCCTTCTGGAAATGGTAGTTGTTTGGCTGTCATGTTGAACCTTTGGAATAATTGTTTTCAGAGTCACTGACCTTCGCTTGCTGCATGCTTAGTTGGATCAATGTTTTAGAAGATACCAATTCCAGACAACAAAGCATTTTCCAGCAGCAATGGCAGCTCTCACTCATTTAAAGTGAAACTCCAGCTTCAGCCAGTAAGTGCCCATTCCTCTAACATACCTTCTGTGCACAGCTGTTTTCTGTCAATAAAATCATATATAAAGAACCAGAAATAGAGTAAGTCACTCCATTGACTGCACTCTTGGGTAAAGCATTATTAACGGAGCATGTTTTCATCAAATCTTCCACTTAATAACTACCGGTTTACCCAATTAAACTAATTCAAGTGTACACAGGTGTGCCTAGTGAGCTAGAAAATACTTTGGAGACCCAATTAGAGGAAAAAAAGCTTAGCACCAAATCTACTGTACCCAGTCCTAGAAGAGCACCTGGAAGCAGCCTGCTGACACAAACAAGAAAATAATCTTGTTTCTCAATAGTTTATTATTTTGGTTCCTTAAAAGACTTCTCTTTTTTTTCTAGCACAACATGCAATAGAAATCTGTTTGCTATATCTAGAAAAATGCCATAAAGCTGAACTCTAGGCAAACTGCTAAACAAACAGATGAAATAAATATATGAGAGCAGTTTTACCTACCAAAGGTTTTGTATACCTGTCCTTCCTGAGATTTACACAGCCCCATCACACAGCACAGTCCTGTCTGGCAGGGGCAGAAGACCTGATTTTAATCTGCTGCAGTTCAGTAACACTTACAGGTCTTGCCCCTCCCCCAGTCTATGACTGGATAGTGAAAAAAGGAGCAACAGGCTGGTTGGCTCATCTCTCTGCTCTCTCCTTCTATCAGCATGCTCCTTGTTAGCTCATAAGCACTGACTGGTTCCATGTGCTGCCTCAACCTCTCTCTGCTGCACAACTGCAAAAGGCTGATGCCAAGTCAAATTTAGCTGCTTGCATTTAATTCAATGAAATGCAGAGCTGCAATTATGTGTGTCTATTATATCTGCCTTGAGTTCAGTTGTAAAAGGGTTTCAAAAACAAGGCATCTTTTTAACTCTTTATGCCTTACCTGGACTCTGTCTTGAGTGACTAATTCATTATTGAGCACCAGTTCGTAAACATATCTTAAAACAGGAGGTATGAAGAATGGGCCTTTCAGGACCTCAACTATATATAAAGGCTGAGAATTTTTATTTGCACCAGTGTTTCTCAACCAAGGTGTGGTTTGGGTTTGCCCAGGGTGCCGCAAGCAGAGGACACAGTTTGCCTTGTATCAGCATCATGCCTGACCATAGTGCTAGCAGACTGACTGCCAGCACCATAACAACCAAGGGGCCAGGACACAAGGCATCATTCACTTGCACCATGGCATTGCATGACGCTGATCCATGGCAGGAGGCATGCAGGGCCTCCCCCAGCATTCAAGAGAAAATGGAATTGTAGCCCCATCCTCTGCCATGCTTCTAGAGCCATAAAGTAGGGTTCAGATTGGAAGAGGACTCTGGGATTGGGGACCTCTGATGTAAAGGGGGGCTTCTGAAGTTAATTTCACCAAAGTGGATGTTTGTGAGTAATATGGTAGCTGTGTTTATTAAATTGATCTAAAAAATATCTATCTTTAACTTGGCCTGGCATAAAATGTTTTTTGTAACAATAGAGCTGAAGTGCTAAATCTTGAGCAAACTGATCTCTGTACCCCAGATAGGTTTTCGAAATGTCCCATTTTCAACTAGACAGCCCAGTTATCACACCCTCTATCCAGTTTACATGACTCCAAATCCCTTGTCTAGTTTTGTGGAGCTTGTACAGTATATTAGACTATATAGCTGTACTGGCAGATCATTCAAGTGTAGGTGATCGTTTTCCAGATGCCACCATTCTCCCTACAGATCAACCTCTAGTGAGTGAATTTTACAGCACTGGTGGTGAAATGTTCTCACAACAGTCACAACAGTCAGTGAGTTGGTGAATTCAGCTAGCTGGCTGTGTGAGCAAAAAGAGAGTTCTGCAGCAGCCACTCATTTTGGCAAGGACCTCTTGAGGACGGGACACCAGTTTGTGCTAATTGGTATGGACTGGGGGGACTGTAAGTATAAGGGGAGTTTATGGATTTTCACTTTAGAGCAGCCTTTCCCAACCTTTTTTCCCCTACAGGAACCACTAAAACAATTTTCAAGTCTTGACAATCTGCTTAAATTATGTAATTGGAAGTCCATGGGAAGAATGTGCCTTACATTGGTGGTCAGTGGGAAGAATGCGCCTTGCATTGGTGGTCAGTAGGAAGAATGCGCCTTGCATTGGTGGTCAGTGGGAAGAATGTGCCTTACATTGGTGGTCAGTGGGAAGAATGCTCCTTACATTAGTGGTTCTTAGGAAGAATGTGTCTTGCCTTGATGGTCAGTGGGAAGAATGCCCCCTTACAGCAATGCTCAGAATGCCACATTTACAGACAACTAAAAGGATCATTGGTGTCTTGCTGCTGGCTCTGTCAAGTGCCATTGGCTCCAAAACTGTGAAGGCACGACCAAATGGGAGGTCATTCGGCCACAGCTCAAGGAATTCCTAGAACTCTAGAGTTCACTGTAACCGTAATTGCAGCTCTAGAGTGTATGGTTGATACTAGGATTCAGGAATGTACTGCATCATATAGTAAAGGTCATGATTATATCTAGTATATTTATAACAGGGCAGTGTATCTAACACTGTAGTCTCTCAAAAGTTGACAGTACCTGGTAGCATGGAAGCATTCTTCGTTTATGGATTCCATATTCAATAGTTTATGCTTATATTTTGTATTGACAAAAGGCACCCCATAACAAAGCCATACCACTTAGAGTAGAGGACAAAGGTTTGGCCATTGTCTGTTTTGGCCTTAACAAATGGTGCCAACCCTAGTCCTCATGGAGACCCCTTGGATCCTAGGCTCATGTGGTAGGTCATTGATTTATCTGAATAGGCCCTATCCCCTGTGGATAGTGCCAATTTTCAACTGCCTCCAACGTGCTATTATTGGATAATTGAATAACAAGGGTTGTGACCGAACAACAAGGAAAGAAATAGGGCTTAAAGAGACCCTATTGTCAGATGCATGTTCTTATACATCTGCATGTTATTTACCTATAAAAACCTCCCTTGTATAGACATGAAAAAGCCCTGAGGCTGCTGCAGGGAGCTGCCATCTTAAATGTGATGTCAGCAACCCAATCAGACGCTATAAAATTCCCCTTTATCTTCTCCCCTGTCAGCTACGTAAAAGGTTTTGTAGGGGGCTGAGGGCAGAACAGGGGAGCTGGGCCAGCATAGAAATATACTAGACACTCCAGAAGTAGAGAGGGCTATTACATGGCAGGAAAGAGGGGAAACTGTGGCTGTTCTAGGGAATTGATTCCAGTAGTGGTCAAATTCCCTAGCAAGTTAAAAGGCATGATGGCCTTCTGTGACTGACCAGAGTTCATTTCACCAAACACCAGTCACCACTGCTTTTAGAAAGGGTGGCAGTGACCACACAGGAGGGTCCAAAGCAGATTTTAGTAAAATCATAATTACTTTTCAGTAAAACATATCGTTCAGTAATGACTTACTCTCTGGCTATGCGAGACTCCATAACGTTCCGGAGAGGCTGGGATGGCTCGTTCGTAGGTGAAGGAAGCAGAGAGGCTCCAGAAGACACATTAACAATACCATCATTTGATCTTTCCTGTTCTGAATCTGATTCATCTGTAAGAACAGAGTGATTAGTACAAAAAATGCCGAAGTCATCAATTTTCAAGGGCAGTCTGCATGCAAATGGAACAGCCACTCCTCCAAACTGACATCCACCCATAAAGGCACTTGATATTTGCAAAACCCATCCCAAGGCTGAGGGAACTGATAGGCACCAACAAATGGGGAGTCAATGGGACACAGCTCAAGGAGCCCCTAACAACCTCTGGAGGAACCCTGGTTGAGAAAATGTACATATAAAGGAAAAATAGTTCTGAAAAAAACACTTGTAGGTTAACCAGATCTTTTTCGCAAATGAATTCTATAATGGCGATGTGATATTGATTTGGATGTTTCCATATTTTGTGCACAAAAGGTGTCCCTTTCTTTCTCATTTTAAAACGCTGGGGGGGTATGCAAGTAACATTTACATTTATGCCTTCAGACTGTCACCAATGGCATTAATCAAACTATATCCATAGGTAAGCCTTGTGGAGGATGGGTTCATGGTTTTACAGTGCAAAATCCAACAATGAAGAGAAAAAATTGCACTCGGAAAAGTAGGTTCTGAAGCAGGATTTACTTAAGTTCCAAATCAGCAAAAAAGTTACACTAACGTTTGGAGTGCATGCTGGTCCTCTTATTCAAGGTGACAGAGAAGATCACCATGCTCTTGAAACTTGGAGTAAGTTTTTTGATGACCTAAGATTTCAGTAAAATGATGATTCAGAATCTTTTTCTTGGCGTGTTGGTTTTCTCTTGTCACCAATGGCCATCTAACCCATATACAGAAAGACAAATTAGATAGATGTGCCCAGTGCACACTGCTGCAATTGCTCCTGCACAGTCCTTGTACATTAGAGCCAAAATCAGAGCCTGGCTGGCACTGCATCGTGCAAATCTTGCTCATCCAGTGCTAACTGATCTTCTGTTCTTTTTATATAGTAAAATAAAAAGCCCAGTGGTTAATAAATACCAAGAAGCTCCATGTCTCTAAAAAATGTTCCATGGTGGAGAAATTGTCAATAAAATTGGAACAAGGGACAGCATACTGTATACCACTCACCAGTGTGGCTCTCTTCCCGGCTCTCACTGTCAGTCAGGCTCTTGGGCCCCAGGGAGGGAGAGCTGGCTTCCGAAGGACCCATCCAGGTGTTTGCTTGTTTTCTATTGTCACGTAGCACTTTTTGGGTTCCAGAGAAGTTACTGCTGCCATTTTTAGAGCGTCGCCTTTCATTTTTCACAGCCAAATTAGAAGAATCTTGTGTTGCTACAGGGAGGTCCACTCTGCACAAAAGTGAGGCTTAAAGTCAATTATTCTGGAAACAACTAGCCATAGATATGAGAAGGTGGTTGGAAGATCTGGCCACCACATTTTTTTTCTTAACCAGTTAAACTCTTTGTGGACCACATTTTACATTTCTGCTTTTGGCTTTTGATTTGGCAGTACCTTTTGACATTACTTAAAGCAGAACGTCAGCCTAAAGGGGACCTTCCGCTTTATGCCCCCCCCCAGTCTAATACCTTTTTTGGGCATTTCTTTGGGGGAGAGCAGGTGCCCACCTTTGGCAGCTACCCATTTCCACTTCCAGTCGGATTGCCTAGGCAATTCCACTAGAAGTTTGGACCATTCACACAGCACAGTGCACCAGAGATAAAACCACAAGGAGTCATAATTGGCTTTGCACAATAAAGATGTCGGTGGCGGGGACTCAAAGGCCAGAGAAGAACCTGGCCCAGGTGAGGATGGCGCTAGATCCTTGGAAAGGTAAGTGTCCTCTTTATTAAAAGTTAACAGCTACAGTATTTGGGCAAAGGGAGAGCTTTTGCTTCAAGCAAGACAATGCTGGCACCATATGGTCTAGTAGGGTGTTTTTTTTTGAGGGGGGTGCGTAAGTAAGAGTTAAATTTCTCTTTATTAAGCATATAGATCCTGCAGTATGGGTGCCCCCACTGCAAGGGTATTCTTTCCACCAGAGGAGTTCAGCTTTAAGTTCAAGTACTACATATATTCTTTTTTGAGGGACAAACAAGACTTGTTTTGTTGAATAGTGTCTTGCAATATTTTTTTTTCTATCTAATCAATGAAAAAAGGATGTAACACAATGTGCTTTTTTTATATAATAAAAGATGAAAAGGGGATGAGGGACTATATGGTACCTAATGCAGAAAAAGTTTTTCTGAAGAAAAAAATTATAAAATTTTTTTATTTTGTATTTATTTTTTGTAATTTTTTTTTAATATTTCTTATTCAAAAATAACTTTTCTGCATTAGGTACCGTATAGTCCCTCATCCTCTTTTATTATATACTTCAGTATTATGGGATGTGGTACTGACTTATTACATGTAATTTAGGTACAGGAAAACAGTAAAATTGAATGTTTTTTTTTTTTGTTTTGTTTTTTTTTTAACTTAGACCAGCGTTGGCTTCAAAACAACTAGAGGTACTGTAGATAAAAAATATTAATTTTATTCTACAATTTAATTACAAAGTTACTCCATTTTGCACATTTGTTTTTAATGCAAAGAAAAACATCAAAACTGAAACGGATAGAAATGAATCACAGTTATATTGTGCCCAGTAATCTGTGTGGACTACAAACTCTTCCCCAGGCTATGAAGAAGCAAGGGTGGTATTCTGAAGTCCTGCCCTTCGGTGACAACACTGCTCCTCCGTAGATATAGTATGGTGAGACAGTGCTGTGCTGTCATCCAGGGACAGGAAGTGTATTAACTGGCAGGATCACCAGGTAAAAATAAAAGGGGGGAAAATAGCTTAAATGAAAACTAATGCAGCCACCACATGTAAGGTTAGGTAAGCTGCAATATAATTCATTTTTGTTCTTTGTTTTAGATAAACTGCACAAAATGCAGGATGTAAACCCAGAAATGTAAAAGATTAGGACATAGAAGCAGGTGTACCTACCTGTTTAGGCTCAGCTGGTGTCTCTGTTTCTGGAGCGGGAAGGACCGTCCACTCTCTGATCCAAGGAAACCACTATCAGTTTCTGGGGACAAAATCCTTCTCTGTAATGAAAATATGTAGAAAAAAATGTGAGTTACTGTTTATATATTTGAATCTGTATATCTGATTTCTAATTATGTCATCGTAAACTATATTATAAAGCATAATCTAAAAATTATACTAAGGCACGTATATACAGAGGGGATAATACTTTTCAAAATCCGAGTTTAAAAACTCCAGACGGCTAAAAGTACAGAGTTATTTGGGCATTTTTAATTGCCAAAGGATTTGTCCAACCAGTTTTGTGATTTTGTCACCCATTGTAAAGCTAAGCTGTACTCTAAAAAAAAAAAAAAAAAAAAAAAGAAATGCCTGTCGAGACTTTCAGAACTCTTACGCTCTGAATCTGTGCCAGGGCTTCCCGCCAGAACTTCCAGAACTCCTACTTTTAGAATACCTGCCAGGACTTTCAATGGTACTCACAGAATCCTTGTCAGGTCTTCCAATAGTAGTTGAATAATGCCTGCAAGATCTAGCGTTCTCAGTAACAACGCTGGACATGTCCTCCAACCAGGAAGGGGTCATTTGGGGGTGTTTGTTGTACTGCGCTGGCATTTTGGTACTTCAAGAAATGTGATAGGCAATCAGAAAGTAAAAGCTGCATAATTTCCAATATATATACCATAGTTTGTAGACGCTAAAACTTTCACACAAACCAATTAATATACACATATTGGGATTTTTTTTTTTTTACCAAAGACATGTAGCAGAATACATGTTGGCCTAAATTTATGACTACATTTTTCAAAATTTTCTTTTTTTTTACGTTTATTTTGCAAAAAAATAAAAGACCCAGTGTGAAAAAGGATATAAATTTGATTTGGGTACAGTGTTGCATGACTGCGCAATTACCAGTTGAAATAGCACAGTGATGAATAGCAAAAAATGGCCTGGTCACGAAGGGGGTGAAACCTTCCGGAGCTGAAGTGGTTAAGCTCCAACCATTGAAATGGCTAGTGCTGCATCTTCTCACCATCAACCTGGGAGCTAAAGAGCTATATTTGTCTGTTTGTTTTGCCTGGTTGTTGCCTGGACTGACCTGACTACTCTCTTGCTTGCTTGCCACCTGCCCCGACTCCTGCTTCGACCTGACTTCTCTTGCTTGCCACCTGCCCCGACTCCTGCTTGGACCTGACTACTCTCTTACCTGCCACCTGCCTCGACTCCTGCTTGGACCTGATTACTCTCTTGCCTGCCACCTGCCTCGACTCATACTTGGACCTGACCATTCTCTTGCCTGCCACCTGCCCCGACTCCTGCTTTGACCTGACTACTCTCTTGCCTGCCACCTACCTCATGCTTGGACCTGACTATTCTCTTGCCTGCCACCTGCCCCGACTCCTGCTTGGACCTGACTACTCTCTTGCCTGCCTCCACTTCTGCTTGGACCTGACTACTCTCTTGCCTGCCTCAACTCCTGCTTGAACCGGACTACTCTCTTGCCTGCCACCTTCCCCGACTCCTGCTTGGACCTGACTACTCTCTTGCTTGCTATTTGCCTCGACTCCTGTTTGGGCGTGACTACTCTCTTGCCTGCAACCTGCCTCGACTCCTGCTTGGACATGACTACTCTCTTGCATGGCACCTGCCTCGACTGCTGCTTGGACGTGACTAATATCTTGCCTGCCATGACTCCTGCTTGGACCTGACTACTCTCTTGCACAGTTACATAGTTGGTCTGACTGAAAAAAGTCCATCCAGTTCAACCATAGAAAAAAAAATTATAATCCTACACCCAGTGTAGGTGTGCCTTGCCTGCCACCTGCCTCGACGCCTGCTCGGACCTGTCTACTATCTTGCTGCCACCTGCCTCAACCATTGACTGAACCTGATTACTCACTCGTCCGCAGACCTGTGAACAGTCTCCCAACAGTAGCCTCTCTCTTCCAGCCACCCCTTTGGTGGGGTGATCCTGAGGGCCATAACCTGGTGTCTGTTTACAGCAAAGTAAACAAGGACCACAAGGGTTCCCAGTCCATCTCCAGCATCTGGAGCTTTTGTAAAGGTACACTACCACTTAGATTCTGCACCTTGGATTAGCCTGTGTCACATGCCAGGATCACCCAACAATAGAAAGAGGTGACATCACTGCTACCTGGCACGCCCTAAACAATGCATAAGTAGTATGGTGATGCTCTTCCATAGTTACTGAGCATATTGAAGGTATAGATCTGAAGTAGGAGGGGTGTCCCTCTACTAGGTTTGCAATTTCCTAGAGATATGTGATTGAAAAAAAGACTGATGACAATAATTTTATATATATATATATATATATATATATATATATATATATATATATATATGTGTATATATGTGTATATATATATATATATGCTGGGTGAACCAAATGACAAGCTCTTGGGCAGATAAAACCGTTCACTTAAATATTCCATATATGTATCAGAATGACTTTGCCTAGTCTAATAGGTGGTGCATCCTTTTTTTTTCTGCCCTGGTTTTTATACAGTGGCCTATATTTGAAAATACCAATCACTTGAATGTATGTACATAGTCAGATTCCTTGTCCTACCTGTGTAATGCCTTTATGAGTCCTTGGTGACTCTCTGTGACCTGAAGGGCTGACATGCTTCATGCTTATACTGCTTTTATGAGATGGGGATCCCTGGATGCTTCCCTCGCTGATGGAAAGCTCGGTGGTGGGGGTCCGAGGAGACTGTTCTTTCAGCTGCGGCAATGGGGAGCTCCGTGATACACGTTGTGGAAAAGTCTTGGACCCATACGACATCCTGACAGAACACAGACACACATTCATTAACAACATGTATACTGAGTGCAGGCAATATAACAGCTGAAATGGTGGGAGTGCTGGACTGCACATTCTTTTCCATACTAGGTATGGAGGGAGCTATGACAAGTGATAAGACACTGAGACAGTTGTTGGTTAAACCCAGACAAGGAAAGTCCTCTTCGTGAAACAGAATCCTATCATTATGTCTTTATACTGCCATGAATCAGACTATAATTACACAAGTGTGAAGGAAATACCTGCTCTAGGGCCTATAAATGAATGTATGCACAACATGGGGAATTCAAAAATGTTTCGCCCTTTAAAATGACTTGCAGCAGATTAAAAAAATCTTTGACGCCAGTTTCAGTAGCTTTACCGCCACGTGTGGCTGATTCAGGTAGTTCCTAATAGCACTGCTTTTACAAAGTGGTGCTACACCAGCACTAAATGTTACCTCCAGTTTGCAGATAAAACCAAAGGCAATTAAGACCCACTCTAACTTGGTGTACAGAGACAGGCAGAGTGCCTGTTTATGCACACTGTGTAGTAGGGCGGCATGTTTGTCTCCCCACCTCTCACTGGTCGTCAAGGACACTGTTCGTTTCACAGCTGATGGGCCCCTAGCAACCAATGACAATGACAGTGGGTGAAGCCTGATGGGAAAGCTGGGGGAGTTGTTCCCTTGTGATTGATAGCAGGCAGAGGGCAGATTCTATAGTCAGTAGCAGTCTGATAGGGAACTAGTGCCTGTGAATCCCCATCAGGCCTGGTTTCAAAGCCCAGCACGCTGTCTGTGTGAAAGTTGCAGTGGAAGGGAGGAAGCTGCACTGAAGATGTTGGTTTGGACAGTCCAGGCCCATTGCACCTCTACATGCAGTGCTTGCCCCAACTTTATGTACCTGTTTTCAACAGATACTTGAATCTACTGCCTGTACCACCATTTTCAGTGCAAAGCCATACCAGAAAAAGAGTGCTGTTGACACACATGAATTCCCCAGAATGTACCCACACTACATTTTGTACAGCATAAAGCAGAACTGTTTTTTCTTTCATATTATGTATTTAGTGTTACTTTCAGTGACGCTGAAGATGTAAGTTAGACTGTCAAAAAGAAACCGAAATAATTGCAGCTGCTCGATCAATGGAAAAGTTATGGTACACAGTGGTAGCGGTATTCACCGAGTGCCCATAGGTGTTTTTTTGTGCAAATGCCCTCCACATATATTAAATGGATCACAAAGAGTAGATGGGTCCTCTTCTATGTTTGATAAGACATATGTGGGCCAATGCTGTGCTTTGGAGCACACTCCAGAAGTGACACAGAGCATTGTTTCTCCACTGTGTGGACTTTCATTAAAGAGGCCCTATTAGGTTGCCAAGAGGTCACCAAAGTAAACTAAATGGCAGTTACCTGCAAAAGAGGAGCTAGTGCACTCAACTTTCTAGCTGCACATGTATTCCACATTCCCTTTTTGTTACAGCACTGCCGCCTCCATCGGTCCCCTTTGCATTGCACATTTTTAGGATGCTTTGTCTACCATTGCATGTTGTGGTTCCTTCTTCTGATCCCTACGTCACGACAGAACTCAGCAGCTGTGTGTAGGGGTCAGAGGATGGAACTACAGCTCATGGCAGAAAATACAGGCATCCAAGTGTTAAATGCCCAGGAGACTGATGGAGGGTAGAAAATATGGATAGTTAGACACAGGCCACTGGAAGTTGACTATATTACCGTTCTATTGTGGGATTCTGACATTTTTTATTTCTTTATAGATCCAACAGGGTAGCTTTTTAAGCCAATGCTTACTAAGCATTTCTTGTGGAGGTCATGCTATCTCAAGTATCCCTCGCAAGTTAATATTTATTGGTTATTTCCATCTAACTGTGAAGAAACGAATTACAAAATAATCACTTGTTTTTATTGAATTAATACCATAGCTTTTCCTTGCCTGCCTGTAGGCTTTGTAGCATTTACTATTTTTAAATGATAGCCCCATGATCAACCTACACTCTAAGGAACCAGGGTACAATAGGTTGTTTACTAAAGGCAAATAGATTGTGCACTTTGCAAAGTGCAATTGCTCCAGAACTTCGCAAAAACACATTTGTTTTTCTCTTGCATGTGATTGAGTATTCTTTGCAGAGAAGCTTTACCACATTTACTAAGCTCTGGAGCAATTGTACTTGGACAATGCAACTGAATCAACCCCAATGTAAGTTGCATTCCCTCCCTACCGATATACCCTTGATGGACCCATTAGTCCTCAAAGTCATGGCCAAGTGTTCTATCACCAGTGCAAACAGCAGGGGCGACAGACGGCAACCCTGGTTCATGTCATCTGGAAACCAAGGGGAAAAAGCTACAGGTCATGTCTAATAGTTTTGAGAATCAAGGAAGCGTGATTGATATCTGGATAATCCAGGGAGGTATGGGTTGTCCCAGTAGATTGGGAAAGGAGGGGGGCAAGAATTCAGAGTGGAAGAACCAGCAGAGTTTGAGAGAAGATGATCAAAAGTGACAGCGTGAAAACTTCTTTTTGGTATACTTACCCTTAAACATTATATGTGTATACAAAGCAGGTTAAACAGACAAAGTACCTTCTGGATGATGATGTTTCCTCTTCTGGAACAATGCCATGTTTGCTAGACACAGAAGATGCTCTCCGTTGCTCTGTGTGAGATGATGTGATGGGTACATTGGTGCCACTAGCTGAGCTACTGACATGCCTATCATCGGTGGGACTGCCAGCCTGTGGAAAGTTCTGAGGAGTAATGGACCTTGAATGACGTTGTTGGCGGCTTCTTGGAGACTGGCGCTTTGCCTTAGCTTTTAATTGGCGTTCTTGTGAGTTGACAGCCCGTTTATGGTCATGATGACTATAGTTACTAACAGGGGTTATCGGTCCCAGTGGTCTTCCAGCTTGTGCATGGTCCTCTGATCTGGAGGCTTGAAACTGCCGCTGTTCGGGGTTGCCATTTTGGAGATCATGTGGTTGCTGAGGCCACTCGTCCTGCTCCAGTCCCAGAGCATCAGGAAGGGACTTAAAGCTGCTATATCTGTAGAATGAACAGCACCAAAAGAATATACAGTTATGAACAGATTCAGACAGCTCTTATATCTACAGCAAAAGTCACCTCATAATAGTTACTAACAAGATATTATTTTATAAGAAGAAGGAAAATAAGTAAGGTGAGAACCCAGGAGAACAGGTGAAAAAAAAATTCTTATAACCAATAGAATGATGTCTGGTTTAGAAATGGGAGCGAGGAAACATCACCAAGACTACAGCCAACTTTAATTGGTGGAAAGTCACACATCATGCTATACAAGGCCCTTCCTCAAAGCAACATAGTGATGATCAGGTGTTTTGTTAATGTGGCGTTATCTCATAATTCCTCTACTTTTACCCACAGTAAGGCTTGGTTGTTGAAACTTATCCACTGGTTTTCTCTATACTCTTGGATTGGTTAGAGAGGCCCATCCCTTTGTATACATGGAAGGGAACGTGTTCTTGCTTCAGTTACATCAAGTATAGATGTGATAAATGGCATCTGTAGGTGGCTTGCACCTGTCCAATGACATAAGTGGCCTGGTGTTTCCATGAACAACCTGACACTCCCTAACACAGTGATAAGGATGCTTCAAGTTCCTTATCACCCCCGCTTCACCCTCATATTGTTCTTATCACCCCCATATTCTCATCATCCCCACGTCACCCCCATGACGTTCTTATTACCCGGACTTCATCCCCATATCATTCTTATTACCCCCACTTCACCCCCATATAATTTGTATTACCCCCACTTCACCCCCATATTGTTCTCACCCCCATATTGTTCCTATTACCCCTACTTAACCCCCTTATTATCATTCTCACCCCCACTTCACCCCCATATTGTTCTTTTCACCCCCATGACGTTCTTATTACCCGGACTTCATCCCCATATCATTCTTATTACCCTCACTTCACCCCCATATTGTTCTTTTCACCCCATATCTTCTTATTACCCCCACTTCACCCTATATTTTTCTTATTACCCCCACTTCACCCCTATATTGTTCTTATTACCTCCACTTCCCTCCTATATTGTGCTTATTACCCTTACTTCACCCCTATATCGTTTTTATTACCCTCACTTCACCCCCATATTGTTCATTTCACCCCCATTTCACCCCATATCGTTCTTATTACCCCCACTTCACCCTATATCGTTCTTAATACCCCCACTTCACCCCTATATTGTTCTTATTACCTCCACTTGACTCCTATAGCGTTCTTATTACCCTCACTTCACCCCCCATATCGTTCTTATTACCCTCACTTCACCCCCATATCTTTCTTTTCACCCCCATATCATTCTTATTACCCCCACTTCATCCCCATATTATTCTTATTACCCCCACTTCACCCCTATATCATTCTTATCACCCCCACTTCACCCCTATATCGTTCTTATTACCCTTACTTCACCCCATATTGTTCTTATCACCCCCACTTCACCCATATATCGTTCTTATTACCCTCACTTCACCCCTATAATGTTCTCATTACCCCCACTTCATATGCATTTTAACAACAGAATCTGTAGCCTAAGTCTGAAGGTGTCACAATGCAAAATGTAGAAAAGATGGGGTGGACACAGTACACACTTACGTGGATAGCAAAGTGCCATAATCCCTTTCTAGCTGCATGTGTTTAAATTGGAGCGGCTGAGGTAAATATTCTTCTGGATCCTCCTTATATGATGTATCCATACCATTACCAGTGAGTCCAGGGGGCCCTGGAGATGTGACCTGGAGACAGAGACAAGCGTATAATGCTAGAACGTACATATTAAAATTGTATGACTGCACAGAACTGCATCTGCTTGACAATAAGAATGAAACTGGGCTAGCACAGAAAATCTAAAATGAAATGAAAAGGGTTGCCAATGTTTAATTCTACGGATATGTGCTCCTGAGTGGGCTCCCCTCCCATAGCATTTTGGTAAGTGGACATACTTACCTGTAACCCACAGTCAGCTAGTGTCCCTCAAACACATGTGCCTGCAGACTCCTTTCATTCCAATGGAAAGCCCACACAGTGCACAGCCAAGGGCCAAAGAAGAAAGATCTCATCAGAGTAGGCCTATGTTAAATGTATGCAATTTCGGGGGAAGGGGGCAGTTAAAAATAAGTGCACTTATATTGCATTTACTCTTTAATTTGCAAACATCCCTTAAAGTGCAAGTTCACCTTTTCAGAAAAAATGGGAAGGTGAGCACCCTACACCCTGTACTTACCTCTGTGGGTGCTGAATTGTCAATGCTCACGCAGCCGGTGTGGCAGTCCGGAGATCTCAAATCTCCACTCTTCCTCACCTTCTTTCTGTAGGGCTTCTGGGAGGGATCAGAGTGATTCTGTTTGGTCAAATTGGTCCCATGTCATTGCTGACCAATCCAAATTGCCCTGATCCCTTCTGGAAGCCCTACAGAAAGAGGGGGAAGAAGAGTGAGGATTTCAAATCTGCACCAACTGTGTGGGTACTGACAACTAATCACTCACTGTAGTAACTACAGTGGGCACTAGGGAAGGGGGTGTAGGGAGTTAGTTCACTTTTCCATTTTTTTCTAAAAGGGTGAACTAACCCTTTTAACAAATGAGATTTCAGATTTTTTCCCAACAATACAGCTACATGTTTGATGGTCCCAATCTTGTATCTGTAAATGGACTTTTAGTAAAGATTAGTGGTCTGTAAACTGTGGTCTGCGGCCAGATGTGACCTCTTGCTTGCCTTTACCTGGCCCTTGGGGCACTATTCCTTCCACTGACCCCAATGATGAGGCACTATACCTCCCATCAACACCGACAATGGAGCACTATTCCTTTCACCGACACCGACAATGGGGCACTATTCCTCCCACAGATACTGACAATGGGGCACTATTCCTCCCACTGATACCGACGATGGGGCACTATTCCTTCCACTGATACCGACGATGGGGCACTATTCCTTTCACTGATACTGACAATGGGGCACTATTCATCTCACTGATACTGACAATGGGGCACTATTCCTTCCACTGATACTGACAATGAGGCACTATTCCTCCCACTGATACTGACAATGGGCACTATTCCTTTCACTGATACTGACAATGGGGCACTATTCCTTCCACTGATACTGACAATGGGACAATATTCCTTCCACTGATATCGACAATGGGGCACTATTCCTTCCACTGATATCGACAATGGGGCACTATTCCTTCCACTGATACCGACAATGGGGCACTATTCCTTTCACTGATACGGACAATGGGGCACTATTCCTTCCACTGATACCGACAATGGGGCACTATTCCTTCCACTGACACCGACAATAGGCTACTATTCCTTCCACTGACCCCAATGATGGGGCACTATACCTCCCAATGATGGGGCACTATACCTCCCAATGATGGGGCACTATACCTCCCAATGATGGGGTACTATACCTCCCAATGACACTGCCCACAGGTAATATGTAGTTTGATTATTGCCACTGACCACCAAGCCTGAGTCACTGTCTACTTCTACTGATGCTGAGGCATTTCCTTACTCCCAATGACCACATTCCAGCCCTCTAAAGTCTGAAGGACAGTAAACTGGCCCTTTGTTTAGAAAGTTTGGAGACCCCTAGCATAGATTTTTTTTTATATACTTATTTTTACTTAAAAAAACTGAAGTTCCAAGAAAAAAGACGAGATGAAGGGGGCACTGTAAATGCCGCTAAATCATGTTTTTTATGCACCTCTATGAACAATAAACATATCCATGGTCAAGATTGATCTGCCTGCCTTTATTCACTGAAGTTCCCACCTCTGACATGGGGTTTAGCGTGCAATCTACTGACTTTTTATTCCGCTCAAATGTAAATGTCATCTTTAGGAAAATCCTTTCTTTTTAGCTTTGGATAGAATGGGGAAGGGTTAGAACCTGTCAAGGTTTTATTCATGACACGGATGAGGCCCCAAAATGAAACCAATGTGAGGTCAGCAGAGGTGCCCATTACACAGAGGCGCCCATACTCTTTATGTGTACTAGGAACTGTTGTAACTGAAAGAGAAAATGTAGTGAAATCCAAATTTTAGATTTGCCCAGAGAACAAGAGACTAACTTTCTGTTGTGTCTCTGGGACGGGAGGTGAAAAAAAAAATTCCCCAATGGTACACAGACCGCAAAATGCAACCTGGAAGGAAATTAAAAACCGAAGGAGCCCAGCCATTATACAGGTGAAAATATGGCTTAAGCTCTATGATTAAGCTCCATGGGTGGGGTGAAACAAGTCAGAGGAGTGTAGTCAGGTGGAGATATGGCTTCAGGCTTGGCTCCTCCTATCGGTATAGTGGCTGGACTCCAGTATGTGGTGTTTTCACCTTCAGTTTTCAGTCCGATTTGCTTTTGCTAGCCTAGATGAGCTTGTTTGAACACCAGTATCTGTTTTGTGCTTTGGACTTCAGGGAGAGGTTTGTAGTGCTTTGAGCAGCGCTCCAAGCTCTATATGGTTCACAATCTAGAAAGAGTTCTAACCCTTTCCTACTCCTATAAAATAAAACGTTTGTGCCGCAGATACACTTTAGATATTGATGGGCAACACCTCCATCTTTTCTCTATGATTTATAAATGATCCCTATTTCGAAAGCAAGGAAGGTTGGTGCATATAACTGCATAACTCATGGAAGAAAGTCAGCTTGCTTTTTCCATAAGGGTAGACCTGTGCACTTGCAACCTAAGGATGCCTATAAAGATAATAGGCCCAACAGGAGGTTCAGGAGAGTGCCATATGGGGGAGCAGGTGGGCCCATGCTGGTCATTTAGGGTTCCCTTGTAAAACTATTAGTCCCCAATAATGATTGTAAAATGTGACTGCATTGACTAAGATCTACTAGTGCTGGCAATGTAACATGAGTAGGGTATACTATGCAAAGATGTAGTAAATAACCAACACAAAATTGGCAGTTGTCCTTGCCGGTACAATAAACTATATGTGTCTCTAGACAGAAACTGGCTCTGGCTAGGTAGCAAGAAGCAGACACATACATGGAACAGGGATGATCTTCATAACAAGGGGCCACATTGCTTCCCTGCATAGGATCCTCTGCAGCCTATGTCTAGCACTGCCCATATCCACTAAATTCATCCCTCCGGAAGGATTAGAAAGAGAAAAGAGTATCTATTTAGTTGCTAGGGGCAACACAGTACATTTCCTCATCTTTCATTTATGAGGCCATGTGTTACTGACCTGTGGGTACGGGGTCTGAGTTGTTGGAATAGGCACCACTGCTGATGGCAATGAGGCATTATCTAAATGGTGAGTAGTATGTGTGAGGTCTGTACTGGGACTGGACAAGGCAGAATGGTCTACTCTTTCTTGTAGCTCATCCAGTTGGACTCCAAGTTGGAATATGGCTTCTTCAAGTTCTCTGTGACAAAAAGACACAACATATTAATACATATATATGGGGCTGGAAAATAGAATAATCTACAAATTTTTCTGACAAAGCCACTTTTTACAACTTTTACTACTTTGCCACTTTAGACATAGTACTTACATCCAGAGAGTGAATGGTTGGTTTAAAAGGGCTCTTGACTGCAGTAGCTGTGTAGCCGCCCAATCAATTTTACGTTGCGGGCGGTGATGAGGTCCCCCAATAACCCCCCACGTTCTGCGGTTCCCAAGCTCTCCCTTCAGAGGCTTCTCCTCTCTTCCTAAGAGCCCAGAACCACAATAAATGGTCTCAGGATGGTGAGCAGGAGGATAACAAGAAACATTCCCTGTTCTCTGCGGTTTATGAATTGGGAAGCGCTCAGCATTACTGGTTTCAGATTGGTTGGGGAAGCAGCTAATCAAGCACAATCTGTGCTTGATTAGCTTCATTGGAGGGCGAGGGAAACATTGAGGGTCTAATAGAACCTGTCACCTGCTAAATTATATCACAAGTTCAATCAATGAAAAATAAATATATTTAAGAGAAAAAAAAAAAAAACGTAACCCCGCTGCCCTGCACACACGTGCAAAAGCAAACACGCATGTGGTATCGTGGTGAACGTCAGGGTGGGAGCAATAATTCTAGGAACATAATTCATAGATAGCTTTAAGCTGATGAGATAAAAAGGATTTTAAAGTGTTGCCTATGGAGAATTTTAGGAACCATAGATTTTCACACTATCACCGACACATGCAGTTTTAAGACTTGACAAGGTTGGTATCTATTTACTTGATTCAACCTCATCTTTTATATTTTACCCAAAAATTAGGTATTATATTGTGTTTGCACTAAAATTAATTTTAGTGTATTTTTGTCCATGAAAATCCATGAAAATATGCATTTGATAAACAGCTGCAAAAATATTGTGTGACATAAAATGCAACAGCTATTTTTTTATTGTACAAGGCTTTAACCACCTCACCACCGTTTATAAACGGCCTCCCCGCACCCTGCTTGTGCCCGCTCCCTGGGAGCGCGCAGCAGCACCGCGATCCGGAGCCCGCTGTGTCCCCCAGACACAGTGGAACACCGATAATTCGGACGGAACCTCTGTACGAGGTCCCGATCATGTGATCACTGATTGGCCAATCAGTGATCACATGCAGAGTAGTAAGCAAGATGTCACTTGTGACATCATTGCTTACTACGTGTGAAATCTGTGAATGATCACAGAGGTCACATGGTACAAGGCTATTCACAACAGCCTTGTACCATGTGACAAGCTGTGACCAATCACAGCTCACTCAGTAGTTCTCAATGGCTGCAAGAATGCAGCTAGAGAGAAGGAGAAATGATTGCTTTTACAGCCTTTATGGGTGTAAAAGCAATCAGTGTAAAAAAAAAAAAAAAAATCTTCATCACCCCCCACAAGTAGTACAGTGTCACCATGGTGACACTGTACTGCTAGGGTGACAGTATGTAAAAAAAAAAAAAAAAAACTAAAAAATTATATAAAAAATGTAAAAGAAATGTTTATATTATAATTATATATTAAAAATTATAATTTTTGGTTATAAACTAATTTGGGTTATTTTTTTTTTTTTTTTACTAAAAATATAACAGAATAAATTTTGGACAAGATTTATGATGAAATACTATTTATTTGCAAAATTTTATAAGAAAAACACTTTTTTTTCAAAATTTTTGGACTTTTTAATTTACATAGCAAAAAAAATAAAAAAATCCCAGTGGTGAATAAATACCACCAAAATAAAGCTTTATCTGTCTCAAAAAATGCTAAAAAAGTCATATGGGTACAGTGTTGCATGACCGCGCAATTGTCATTCAAAGTATGATAGCACAGAAAGCTGAAAATTGGCCTGGACAGGAAGGGGGTAAAAGTGTCCAGACTGGAAGTGGTTAAGTCCTTAAGTAAATTTAAAAAAAAGCCAAAAATACAGATTTTGTGGGCAAAAATTTAAAAAATTGAGGAAGTGATCAAATTGGTTGTAAAGACTGAAAAGGCTATTGTACGCTCTGCACTAGGGAAAAAAGCATTTTATGTGCAGCCCCCCTTCTCCCTTCCAGCCCCCTCTTATGCCTACCTGAGGTGGATCTTGATGCACTGTGGCTGAGAGCAGAGGCTTTGCTCTCTCTCCTTCATTGGACTCGGTGAGAGCAATGGGAGCCATTGGCGTCTGCTGCTTTCAATCAAACCCAGTGAAGTGGGAGTGGAGGGTGGGGCCAAGTCATACTGTGTGTGTCAATAGACACACACATCCTGGCTCAGGCTCAAGCCTGCATGTATGCCCCCATTGCATTGTGCTAACTATTGCACAGAGCGGGTAAGTATAACATAAATAAAAACAATCATTAAACATAAGTAAAAAAAAACAATAATACATGATACATGCAAAACTGTTGCTAGCTGTAAAACCCTAATAGTACCATCTCTATGCTGATGACACACAAATCTATCTTTCTACCCCTCATCTCACCCCTTCAGTCTCCTCTCGCATTACTAACCTACTAAGTGACATATCAGCATGGATGTCACTCCACTTCCTCAAACTCATACTATTCCCCCCAGCCCGTGCCCCCTCCCCTGACTTCTCCATCAAGACCAATAACACAACCATCATTCCCTCCCCTCATGCCAGGGTACTAGGTGTAATCCTAGACTCCCATCTGTCCTTTCAGCCCCTAATCCAATCACTGTCCAAATCTTGTAGAGTTCACCTCCACAACATCTCCAAGATACAACCGTTCTTAACCTCTGAAACCACTAAACAACTTATTCACTCCCTGGTTATCTCTTGCCTTGACTATTGTAACTCCCTCCTCATTGGCCTACCTCATCGCAGGCTATCCCCTCTTCAGTCTATCATGAATGCTGCTGCCAGACTCATCCACCTTATTAACTGTTCCATATCTGCCATCCCTCTCTGCCAATCCTTCCGCTGGCCTCCACTCAGTGTCTTCCACCCCTCTTTGCCAATCCCTCCACTGACCTCCACTCAGTGTCCTCCACCCCTCTCTGCCAATCCCTCCACTGGCTTTCCATTGCCCAACAGATAAAATTCAAAACATTAACAATAACATATAAATCCATATATAACTCTGCCCCAAATTACATCACCAATCTTGTCTCCAAATATCACCCAAACCGTCCTCTCCACTCCTCCCACAACATCAAGCTCCCTTGTCTCCTCCTCCTCCCATGCTCATCTCCAGGACTTCTCCAGAGGTTCCCCCATCCTCTGGAACTCTCTACCCCAATCTATCCAACTATTGCCTACACTGCTCACTTTTAGGCAATCCCTGAAAACCTCTCCCTTCAGGGAAGCCTATCCTGCCTTCAGCTAATAACAGAATCTTCTATTTCACCTACCAGTCCATCCCCCACAGTTATTACCTTTTTGTACCACCAGACCCTCCCTCTTAGATTGTAAGCTCCAAGGAGCAGGGCCCTCCTAACCCTCTTGTATTGAACTGTATTGTCTCCCTTTATATTGTAAAGTGCTGAGCAAACTGTTGGCGCTATATAAATATAATAGTATAATAATAATGGTGAATTTACAGCACATAAATAAACAATAATAATGGTGCAGTGCAACATATAACCATTCTTAGTTAGTCCCCTCTGATTACAATGTCCATTTTCTTTACTTACCTTTGTGGATCCAGTTCCCGAGATGGATGCCCAGAGCGTCGCTGTTCTTGGCGATATTGCTCCTGGGCTTGTAAGTACCTGCGTTCCAGTACAGCTAAAGAGCCACGGAGCTCTTGCACAGCCTGGATAGAGAACATACAAGATATAGGTTCATACACACAGGAAATGGATTCAGTTTAGATAAATACCAGACCCCTTTATTCATTGTCCTTCACCTGTTGTTGTTCTTCAGGAGTCAGGGTTCCCCCTTGCAAGAGCCCCTCAAAGAGGTCAACCTGAAAAGGATGAAGATTTTTTTTTTTTATTAGTGCATAGTGCATTTGGATTTGTTGCCACAGTACCCAATGACATTTCAACTAACCTTCTCGGGAAATGCTAATAAAGTTTATTTGGGTTCAGAGCTCCGGGGCTGCCGAAGATCGCATGTAAAGGCATGTGTGGGTACTGTGCGGTATTTGTGCTACAGCCAGTTCATTACCAATAAGGGGTACTGACGTGTACTATCCATTGAGACACACAGGAATTCGTTTGGATTCTAGATTTTCGGGTTATACTGCTGTCTACAGCTGAATCAAGTAGTCTAGAATTCAAAGAATTCCTGCAACCCTCAATGAACTCCAAGACAGGAATTCATAGGATTCTAGATTTTTGGGTTATACTTCTACCTGCAAGAGAGCCGGATAGTTTAGAATTCGAAGATTTCCTGCAACCCTCTATGGTCTCTAAGAAAAATTATTTTATGGCGAGAACAAAATGTTTTTTTTTTTTTTTTTTTTTAAAGCATCCATTGCAGTACACAGGAATTGTTTGATCACCTTGACCAGATACCCTAGAAATCAGACATAGCAACAACTAATGCATGTGATACACAGTGCTGTGAAAAAGTAATTGCCCCCTTCTTGGTTTCTTTTTTTTGCATATTTGTCACACTTAAATGATTCAGACCATCAAACAAATGTTATTATTGCACAACGATAACCCGAGTAAATGCAAAATGCATTTTTTAAATGCTGATTTAATTTATTAAAGGGGAAAAAAAGCTGTCCAAACCTGCCTGGCCCTGTGTGAAAAAGTAATTGCCCCCTAAACCTTGGCGGCAACAACTGCAATCAAGCATTTGTGATAACTGGCAATGAGTCTTTCACATCACTGTGGAGGAATTTTGGCCCCCTCTTTGCAGAATTGTTTTAATTCAGCCACATTGGAGGGTTTTCAAGCATGAGTGGCCTGTTTGCAGTCATGCCACAGCATCTCGATCGGATTTAAGTCCGAACTTTGACTAGGCCACTCCAAGAAATTAATTTTGCTTATTTTGAGCCATTCAGAGGTGGACTTGCTGGTGTGTTTGTGATCATTGTCCTGCTGCATAACCCAAGTGCGCTTGAGCTTGATGTCACAAACTGATGGCTGGACATTCTCCCTAAGAATGGTAGAGAATTCATGGTTCCATCAATTATGGCAAGTCATCCAGGTCTTGATGTTGCAAAGCAGCCCCAAACCATCACACTACCACCATGTTTGACTGTTGGTGTGATGTCCTTTTTATGAAATACTGTTAGTTTTATGCCAGATGTAACAGGACGCACACCTTCCAAAAAGTTCAACTTTTGTCTCATCAGTCCCCAGAATATTTGCCCAAAAGTCTTGGGGATAATCAAGATTTTTTTTGGCAAATGTGAGAGGAGCTTTTGTGTTCTTTTTGGTCGGCAGTGACTTTGGCCTTGAAACTCTCCCATGGAGGCCATTTGTGCCCAGTCTTATTGTTGAATCATGAACACTGACCTTAAAGCAGAGCTCCACCCAAAAGGCCTTGTCCTCTGCTCCCTGTTAAGGATTGGCACATTTGTGGAGCGGGTACCTGATTTTGACGGGTACCTGTTCCCCCTTCCACTGCGATCACCTAGGTGAGCGGAAGCGGATGTTGTATTCCCTCCCCGAGGTCTTCTGGGACTTGTGACAGGTCACAGAAAATTATGGGATCATTCACAAGGTGCAGCGATACTGGCACATGCACAGTGGGCACCTGACTGTGAAGCTGCAAGCTGTCACAGCCGGCTGCCCACACTTAAGATGCCAGAGCTGGGGAGAGAGGATGGCAGGTGGATTGAGGGTTTACAGTTTTTGTATCTACTGACTTTTATAATTTTAGATTGGACTGGAGAAAGTGAGGCCTGCAGTTCTTTAGATGTTCTTGGTTCTTTTATGGCCTCCTGGACAAGCCATCTTTGTGTTTTTGGATTAATATTGGTAGGCCGGCCGCTCTTGGGAAGGTTCACCACCGTTCCAAGTTTTTACATTTGTGGATAATGGCTCTCACCGTGGTTCGCTGAAGTCCCAAAGTCTTAGAAATGGCTTTGTAACCCTTTCCAGACTGACACATGTCAATTACTTTGTTTCTCTTCTGTTCTTGAATTTCTTTAGATCGCAGTATGATGTGTTGCTTTTTGAGAGCTTTTAATGTGCTTCGCTTTGTCAGACAGCTTCTATTTAAAGCAGAACTTCACTGCAATTGAGCACCAAAAATGCTGTTTAATTCATTTTTAATATTCAAACCAAACTCCCCCATCCACCCATGTCTCCATGCTTTATTTTGCTTAGAAATCACGTTGAAAAACACCCCCTAGCATTTCTGGCTGTGGCCACCTTGAGTAAAGGCAAATGATTCATGCAGCATTTACTTCCTGGAATTTATCTGTCCTTAGCTAAGCACACCCGCCTGCCTGCATGCTTGAGCCAAGAAAATCCCTCCTTCGCCTTAAGACTTCTGAGATGTAAGACATAATTTGCCCAGGCATGAAAACCAGAAAGTTACTGAAGAAAAAAGAATTAAAACAAGTAATTCCTAATTTACCAATGCTAGTAGCATAAGGATTAAAAATAGTCAATGTTGCCTGAGAGGGTGAAGTTCCGCTTTAGGTGATGACTTGATTCAACAGGTTTGGCAGTAATCAAGCCTGGGCGTGGCAGGTGAAATTTAACTCAGCTTTCCAAAAAAAGGTGGTAATCACAGTTAAGTCATGATTTAGCAAGGGGGCAAAAAAATTACTTTTAAATGGGGCCAGGCAGGTTGGACAGCTTTTTCCCTTAATAACGGAAATCATTATTTAAAAACTGCATTTTGCATTTACTCGGGTTATCTTCGTGTAATAATAAAATTTGTTTGATGACCTGAATCATTTAAGTGTGGTAAATATGCAAAAAAAAAAAAAATATATAGAAATCAGGAAGGGGGCACATACTTTTTCACAGCACTGTATGTACATAGCCAATAATGATCAACAAGGTCCTCCAGGGACCATCCCACCTGCTCATGTATACAATATGTTCATTCCAGGCAGCTATCTTGTAGCATTGATTCTGGATTACCCTGGAATAAGTATGTTGTACATATGTATCTGGGAGTTGAGAAATACAGACCCATATCTTTGCTAAGATTTTGATGAACAGTTTAAGGTCATTATTGATCAAACAGACCACCATCTTTTGCCAATGTGTATGTTCATAGGGATCAGGTGGGGTTTATTCGTAGAAGGCAGGACCCTGACCAAGTAAGGTGTGCAGTTAAATTATCTCTTTGCTCCAGTCCCATTGGATTGGTGGCCCAACCCAAGAGGAGCTTCCGCTATCTATAGTCCTTAAAAAGGCATTTGATTCTGTCTCTTGGCCCTACTTGTTTGGCCTCCTGGACGCTTGGGGATTTGGACCCAATTTTCCTAATGTACTCATGGTGTTCTACAATGAACGTGTAGCTAAAGTCAAGTTTCATTGATATCATTGTATACATGTGACACAGCAGACAGCAATATGAAGCTCCATAGTTACTGATTGGGGATCACCGATGTATGTCATTGTACTGGACTTCCATAAAGGCCTGGAAATGCATGCAGAGCACACATATATATCGGGAAGATGTTTCCAATCCATATAGACAACATCTCTGCAGGACATTCAACTATCACTGGATGTACCTTGGATAACAAATATAAAGCCTGAGATGTGTTCTGCACTAAAAATAGTATTCATCAGTACTGGCAGTTTTCATTCTCCATAGACACCATCTATTCCTCTGGAGAATAGGTCTGTACTGTGTTCCTGGGAGCCCCGACATTGTCAATGCACTGGTTGCTTTGGAACAAACGTTTAATCATACAAGCATTTGTACAAAAAGTCTCAGTATATTTGATGACTTGATGAATGTCATTTGAAAATACGGTACTTTGATTTTAACAATTGATTTTGAAACTAATACATAAAATAAAACATAAACTGTTAGAATTTCATTCATTGTAGAAACACTTTCCAAACTGCTCCTTCGACTTTTCTACACACTACAGTAAAAAATAAATGTCTTTCGCCCCACTAACCATTCAAAAATCAAACAAAATTTTTTAAAAAGAAAAATTTCAAAACAAATTCTACTAGGTTGTGACCAGCTTTAGTAATGTTTAAGTAATACAGGTCCTATGGTGCTTCAGTGGAAAACATGAAGGATATACACAAACCTCCCTATGAAGGGTCTCCAGGTGTGATCCTAAAATGGAAGCACTGTCTTCGGGTCCTTGGAGAAAGGAAGAACCTGAAGTACCTGGTAAAGTGGCATCTGAGGGACTCTCTGACTGATTCAGTGGAGCAGAGGAACCTAGGAGCAAGCGGAGAAATTGTATTTCATTATTGTCCTAAGCATTTAAAGTAGATCTAATGTACGTATACTGAATGTATGTACTGGCAAGGGGTGCTTGGGCATTCTGGATGGTATGTTGATGCTGGCTACTGGGGATCTACTGTTGCTGGGAGGATATACTGTTGCAGGAGATGGGGGGGGGGGGGGGGGGAATGCTATGGGTGTTGACAGCTGGATGGTTTGAGGTTTGCTGCAGGTTGATCTATTGTTACCAGAAGGCATCTATTGTTGCTGGTGGGGGATCTTCTGTTTCTGGGGGTCTACTGTTGCTGGTGGTCTACTATTGCTGGTGGGGGGTCTATTATTGCTGGGGGATCATTATCACTGGGGAAATCTATTGTTGCTGGGGAATCTATTGCTGGTAAGACGGCTATTGTTGCTGGGGGGTCTATTACTGCTGGCTGCAGGGGGATCTATTGTTGCTGGGGGGGCGGTGACTTTTTGTTAGTGGGGGATTTTGTTGCTGGGGAGAAGCTACTGTCGCTGGGGGGAGTCTATTACTGCTGGCTGCATGGGGATCTATTGTTGCTGGGGGGGGGGCTCTACTGTTGCTGGGGTGGCCTTTTGTTGTTGAGCAGAATCTGTTGTCGCTGGGGGAGACCTATTGTTGCTGGAGGTCCTTTTGTTGCTGGGGGGGGGGGGGCGGTTCTATTGCTTGATGTTACTTGGCACAACAAAATTATATTTAGTTCTGTATTCTCTAAGGGGGCGACACAGAGACGTGGTTGAGGCAACAAGGGTGACTCACGAGGCAAAGGGTTCGGGCAGGAGTACCTAGACCTATTCTCAGAGAAGAAAAAAAAAACGTGTGTGTGTGTGTAATACACGTTTTTTTTTCTTTTTTTTTTTAACCTTTTGTCAGGTTTATTTTTGCTGCCTGTCTCACTGAGATGATTTTTTCTTTCCATTTCTATCTCATAATTAGAGATGAGCGACATCGAACATGGCGAAGTGGAATTCGTTTCGAAGATCAGGAAAAATTCGATTCGCGCCGAATCCGAAAATTAGCAAACTTCGGATGCACGAATCGAATTTTCCCAAAAATGGCGGCGACATGTGTGGCGACGGAGCGGGGATCTCTGGGAAGGCGCGCAGACAAGGCGCGCTGACCCATAATGCATTCATTCATGACATGTGATCGCATTAGCCAATCAGCAGCCAGCCAGCCAGCACTGTGTAATGGTGGAGCTATAAATTGCGGCCATCTTACAATTCTCCATTAGCCTCCGGTCATTCAAGAGAGACAGACCTGTCTGTATTAGGGACAGAGTTAGGGCCAAGAGACTTTAGGGCCACAGAATCGTTACTTAGGGACACAGAATCGTTACTTAGGGACACAGAATCGTTACTCAGGGACACAGAATTGTTACTCAGGGACACAGAATTTCGTTACTCAGGGACAGACACAGAATTCGTTACTCAGGGACACAGACAGGGACACAGAATTGTTACTCAGGGACACAGAATCGTTACTCAGGGACACAGAATCGTTACTCAGGGACACAGAATTGTTACTCAGGGACACAGAATCGTTACTCAGGGACACAGAATCGTTTACTCAGGGACACAGAATCGTTACTCAGGGACACAGAATTGTTACTCAGGGACAGACACAGAATCGTTACTCAGGGACACAGAATCGTTACTCAGGGACACAGAATCGTTACTCAGGGACACAGAATCGTTACTCAGGGACACAGAATCGTTACTCAGGGACACAGAATCGTTACTCGGGGACACAGAATCGTTACTGAGGGACAGAAATCGTTACTCAGGGACACAGAATCGTTACTCAGGGACACAGAATTGTTACTCAGGGACACAGAATTGTTACTCCAGGGACACAGAATCGTTACTGAGGGACACAGAATCGTTACTCAGGGACACAGAATCGTTACTGAGGGACACAGAATCGTTACTCAGGGGACACAGAATCGTTACTCAGGGACACAGAATCGTTACTCAGGGACACAGAATCGTTACTGGAGGGACACAGAATCGTTACTCAGGGACACAGAATCGTTACTCAGGACACAGAATCGTTACTCAGGGACACAGAATTGTTACTCAGGGACACAGAATCGTTACTTCAGGGACACAGAATCGTTTACTCAGGGACACAGAATTCGTTACTCAGGGACACAGAATTGTTTGCGGGCCAGAATTGTTTACTCAGGGAACACCGAATCGTTACTCAGGGACACAGAATCGTTACTCAGGGACACAGAATCGTTGAATTAAAGAGTATGTCAGACAACACGCAGAGGAGTGGCAGAGGAGGCAATGTTTCAGGAGCAAGCAGACGTGGCAGCAGAGGAAGGGGGTCGAGGGCAGCATAGTCGCAGCCAGAGGCCAGTGCTCCCGGTGTCATCCAGTGGTCGTGTCTCCACCGACCGACAACCTGCCATCATCGATTGGTTGGCTCGGTCGTCTTCCTCTTCCCAGGTCACCTCTGACACCTACAGCCAACGGTCGGTGGGTACGTCAGACACAACCGTTAGTTGGCATGGCCCGGGACCAAGCCCACTGAAAATCCACGTGTCCTCTACCTGCCCCTGTCCTTTGGTGTTCCCTCACCAAGCGAAGTATCGCATGCTGTGGGCTCAGCCCCACTGTACAGTGAGGAAGAGCTAACAGAGGGCGGTCAGGAACGGGGGGAGACATCCGCCTCTTCAGCAGCCAGGCGAAGAAGTACTGGCGAGGAGTGGCTCGGTAGCCGGTCTAGAGACAGGTCTGTCTCCTGACCCACACGCAGCCGAGGGGGCTAGTAGTGAGGCGGAGGACCTAATTGATGATGATGAGGCTGATCCCGTCACTTGGCAGCCTCGTCGTCATCTGCCAGGCCCGTAATCTGCCATGGGCCCACGTACCGACTCCTCATGCTGCTGCCAGGCCCGTAATCTGTCATGGGGTCCCCTGTACCGCCTCCTCTCATGCTGCTGCCAGGTCCAGAGTGTGTCATGGGTCCCTGTACGGCCTCCCATTGCTGCTGTCTCCATCGCCACACTCTATGCCATGTGCCACTTTCAGGTCTCCTCACAACTGCTGGTGGGTTCCATTTTGTCATAGGGTGCTGGCAGATTACGGGCCTCCCATTGCTGCTGCCAGGCCCGTAATCTGCCATGGGCCCCCGTACCGACTCCTCATGCTGCTGCCAGGGCCCGTAATCTGTCATGGGCCCCTGTAAATAACCGCCCACCTCATGCTGCCACTTGCCAGGGGTTCCAAGAGTGTGTCATGGGTCCCTGTACGGGCCTCCCATTGCTGCTGTGTCTCCATCGCCACACTCTGCCATGTGCCACTTTCCAGGGGGGTCTCCTCACACTGCTGGTGGGGTTCCATTTTGTCATAGGGTGCTGGCAGATTACGGGGCCTCCCATTGCTGCTGCCAGGCCCGTAATCTGCCATGGGGCCCCCGTACCGACTCCTCATGCTGCTGCCAGGCCCGTAATCTGTCATGGGCCCCTTGTACCGCCTCCTCATGCTGCTACCAGGTCCAGAGTGTGTCATGGGTCCCTGTACGGCCTCCCATTGCTGCTGTCTCCATCGCCACACTCTGCCATGTGCCACTTTCAGGTCCTCCTCACACTGCTGGTGGGTTCCATTTTGTCATAGGGTGCTGGCAGATTACGGGCCCTCCCATTGCTGCTGCCAGGCCCGTACCCGTAATCTGCCATGGGCCCCCGTTACCGACTCCTCATGCTGCTGCCAGGCCCCGTTCTGTAATCTGTCATGGGCCCTCTGTACCGCCTCCTCATGCTGCATGCTGCCAGGTCCAGAGTGTGTCATGGGTCCCTGTACGGCCTCCCATTGCTGCTGCCAGGCCCGTAATCTGCCATGGGCCCCCGTACCCGACTCCTCCATGCTGCTTGCTGCCAGGCCACGTAATCTGTCATGGGCCCTGTACCGGACCCTCCTCATGCTGCTGCCAGGTCCAGAGTGTGTCATGGGTCCCTGTACGGCCTCCCATTGCTGCTGCCAGGCCCGTAATCTGCCATGGGCCCCCGTACCGACTCCTCATGCTGCTGCCAGGCCCGTTATCTGTCATGGGCCCCTGTACCGCCTCCTCATACCCATGCTGCTGCCAGGTTCCAGAGTGTGTCATGGGTCCCTGTACGGCCTCCCATTGCTGCTGTCTCCATCGCCACCACTCTGCCATGTGCCACTTTCAGGTCTCCTCACACTGCTGGTGGGTTCCATTTTGTCATAGGGTGCTGGCAGATTACGGGCCTCCCATTGCTGCTGCCAGGCCCGTAATCTGAAATGGGCCCCCCGTACCGCATCCTCATGCTGCTGCCAGGTCCAGAGTGTGTCATGGGTCCCTGTACGGCCTCCCCATTGCTGCTGTCTCCATCGCCACACTCTGCCATGTGCCACTTTCAGGTCTCCTCACACTGCTGGTGGGTTCCATTTTGTCATAGGGTGCTGGCAGATTACGGGCCTCCCATTGCTGCTGCCAGGCCCGTAATCTGCCATGGGCCCCCGTTACCGACTCCTCATGCTGCTGCCAGGCCCGTAATCTGTCATGGGCCCCTGTACCGCCTCCTCATGCTGCTGCCAGGTCCAGAGTGTGTCATGGGTCCCTGTACGGCCTCCCATTGCTGCTGCCAGGCCCGTAATCTGCCATGGGCCCCCGTACCGACTCCTCATGCTGCTGCCAGGCCCGTAATCTGTCATGGGCCCCTGTTTTGCCGCCTCCTCATGCTGCTGCCAGGTCCAGAGTGTGTCATGGGTCCCCCCCTGTACGGCCTCCCATTGCTGCTGCCAGGCCCGTAATCTGCCCATGGGCCCCCGTACCGACTCCTCATGCTGCTGCCAGGCCCGGTAATTCCTGTCATGGGCCCCTGTACCGCCTCCTCATGCTGCTGCCAGGTCCAGAGTGTGTCATGGGTCCCTGTACGGCCTCCTCCCATTGCTGCTGTCTCCATCGCCACACTCTGCCATGTGCCACTTTCAGGTCTCTCTCACACTGCTGGTGGGTTCCATTTTGTCATAGGGTGCTGGCAGATTACGGGCCTCCCATTGCTGCTGCCAGGCCCGTAATCTGTCATGGGCCCCCTGTACCGCCTCCTCATGCTGCTGCCAGGTCCAGAGTGTGTCATGGGTCCCTGTACGGCCTCCCATTGCTGCTGTCTCCATCGCCACACTCTGCCATGTGCCACTTTCAGGTCTCCTCACACTGCTGGTGGGTTCCATTTTGTCATAGGGTGCTGGCGATTACGGGCCTCCCATTGCTGCTGCCAGGCCCGTAATCTGTCATGGGCCCCCCTGTATACCGCCTCTCTCTCATGCTGCTTGCCAGGTCCAGAGTGTGGTATCTCATGGGTCCCTGTACGGCCTCCCATTGCTGCTGTCTCCATCGCCACACTCTGCCATGTTCCCACTTTCAGGTCTCCTCACCACTGCTGGTGGGTTCCATTTTTGTCATAGGGTGCTGGCAGATTACGGGCCTCCCATTGCTGCTGCCAGGCTCGTAATCTGTCATGGGCCCCTGTACCGCCTCCTCATGCTGCTGCCAGGTCCAGAGTGTGGTCATGGGTCCCTGTACGGCCTCCCCCATTGCTGCTGTCTCCATCGCCACACTCTGCCATGTGCCACTTTCAGGTCTCCTCACACTGCTGGTGGGTTCCATTTTGTCATAGAGTGCTGGCAGATTACGGGCCTCCCATTGCTGCTGCCAGGCCCGTTAATCTGTCATGGGCCCCTGTACCGCCTCCTCATGCTGCTGCCAGGTCCAGAGTGTGTCATGGGTCCCTGTTCGGCCTCCCATTGCTGCTGTCTCCATTGCCACACTCTGCCATGTGCCACTTTCAGGTCTCCTCACACTGCTGGTGGGTTCCATTTTGTCATAGGGTGCTGGCAGATTACGGGGGGACCTCCCATTGCTGCTGCCAGGCCCGTAATCTGTCATGGGCCCCTGTACCGCCTCCTCATGCTGCTGCCAGGTCCAGAGTGTGTCATGGGTCCCTGTACGGCCTCCCATTGCTGCTGTCTCCATCGCCACACTCTGCCATGTGCCACTTTCAGGTCTCCTCACACTGTGCTGGTGGGTTCCATTTTGTCATAGGGTGCTGGCAGATTACGGGCCTCCCATTGCTGCTGCCAGGCCCGTTAATCTGTCATGGGCCCCTGTACCACCTCCTCATGCTGTTGCCAGGTCCAGAGTGTGTCATGGGTCCCTGTACGGCCTCCCATTGCTGCTGTCTCCATCGCCACACTCTGCCATGTTCCACTTTCAGGTCTCCTCACACTGCTGGTGGGTTCCATTTTTGTCATAGGGTGCTGGCAGATTAATTTTTTTTTTATTCGGGCCTCCCATTGCTGCTGCCAGGCTCGTAATCTGTCATGGGCCCCTGTACCGCCTCCTCATGCTGCTGCCAGGTCCCAGAGTGTGTCATGGGTCCCTGTACGGCCTCCCATTGCTGCTGTCTCCATCGCCACACACTCTGCCATGTGCCACTTTCAGGTCTCCTCACACTGCTGGTGGGTTTCCCATTTTGTCATAGGGTGCTGGCAGATTACGGGCCTCCCATTGCTGCTGCCATGCCCTGTAATCTGTCATGGGCCCCTGTACCGCCTCCTCATGCTGCTGCCAGGTCCAGGAGTGTGTCATGGGTTCCCTGTATCGGCCTCCCATTGCTGCTGTCTCCATCGCCACACTCTGCCATGTGCCACTTTCCAGGTCTCCTCCACACTGTGGTGGGTTCCATTTTGTCATAGGGTGCTGGCAGATTACGGGCCTCCCATTGCTGCTTTGCCTGAGGCCCGTAATCTGTCATGGACCTCTGTACCGCCTCCTCATGCTGCTTGCCAGGTCCAGAGTGTGTCATGGGTCCCTGTACGGCCTCCCATTGCTGCTGTCTCCATCGCCACACTCTGCCATGTGCCACTTTCAGGTCTCCTCACACTGCTGGTGGGTTCCATTTTGTCATAGGATGCGGCTGAATTTCGGGCCTCCCATTGCTGCTGCCAGGCCCGTAATCTGCCATGGGCCCCCGTACCGACTCCTCATGCTGCTGCCAGGCCCGTAATCTGTCATGGGCCCCTGTACCGCTCTCCTCATGCTGCTGCCAGGTCCAGAGTGTGTCATGGGTCCCTGTACGGCCTCCCCATTGCTGCTGTCTCCATCGCCACACTCTGCCATGTGCCCACTTTCAGGTCTCCTCACACTGCTGGTGGGTTCCATTTTGTCATAGGGTTGCTGTATGGCCTCCCATTGCTGCTGCCTCCACCGCCACACTGTGGCTCCACACTCTGGTTTTGGCCCCGTGACTGCCCAAATGAGTGAAGTGTGCGGTGATTCTAAGATCGGACGGCACTCATCTGCATGTCATACTGACTGACAGTATTATTTTCTCTTCCCCAGCAGACTCTCAAGGGCATTAAATTAAAGGTACAGTGTTCTGCACTAATATAAAGGCTCTCTGAAGCCTAGAAACACCCTTTTTATAAGTTTAAATTCGAAGCGAATATATTCGACTCGAATCGAATTTATTCCGCGAATTCGCCGAATCAGCCGAATCGAATTTTTGAATAATTCGCTCATCTCTACTCATAATGTAGATATCACATCGAGGGCTAGTTTACACAAGCATTGCTCTCTCTAAACAGGGATCCAACACTTGAACCTCTTGCAGGGCGCCTCCATTCAGTCCAACAGGTCCGTTCAGCAGGTGGGCTTTGAATACGTAATTCCCCCCCCCCCCCCACCCGCTGCCTTAGTGAAGAGCAATCCACAGCAGGTGAATGGGTTTGCGTTCGGCAGGCGGTACTGCCTGCAGAGCACAACAGGGCGATCATTTCTGATGGGGCCGTGAAATGAAAGCATTGTGGCTGTGGCATGTGTACACCACCACCTGATACCTTTGCAGTTTAAGGGGGAGCTGCTGGAGGGCGGCGGTAAAAATGTGGTGGGGTGCCTTTAGTCACACGTTTTTAAAGCACCCCCCAACTGCAAGAGTAAAACAAACCTTTAGACAAGTGTCCCCATGGGAAGGTTTCATCCCCAATTCTAGTTCCACTGAAGATTTCTTCCCATTTTTAGTCCAAGTGACAGTTGTCACCAGATCAAATAAAGTGAATTTTTCCATCAGGGACACAGTCAGCAGTATAAATCTGATAGACCTTCTAACCCTTCTCTGCTTAGTGTTACTAAACCCACAACAGTAATATCAGTCTCTATATACAGTAAAGCATGCTTGGTATATACTCACTATGGAACCTAAGGGGTTAACCTCTGCATTGTGTAAAAAGGCTGTTTGATCCTGTCTTCTCTGATCCTCCCTTCTTCCACAATCCATCTGCTGATAGAACAGAGCCTTGGGGGACAAGCTGCACATGCTCAGTTTTAGTGTGTATTGCTACAGAGTTTTTATTTTTCCTTGGAAGAGTGGCATGTGATCAGGACAGGGCCAATCAGAACTGTCCAGAGGGTCAGGGATTATGCAGCCTAATAGGACAATGGAGAATGAAAACTCCTCCTACAAGTTTTAACCAGTGCTCTGCTGGACACTGCACTGACAGAAGTCACACGGCTGCTCTATCTGTTGATGAGAAAAGGTATTTAGCAGTTGGTATTTACTAAAATAATTGCTTTTCCATGTTCTGTTTACTGTGGGAGACCAGATATAGTGAATGCAGGGTCCTGGGTGAGACCAGATATAGTGAATGCAGGGTCCTGGGAGACCAGATATAGTGAATGCAGGGTCCGGGGAGACCAGATATAGTGAATGCAGGGTTTGGGGAGACCAGATATAGTGAATGCAGGATTTGGGGGAGACTAGATAATAGTGAATGCAGGGTCCTGGTGAGACTGGATAGAGTGAATGCAGGATACGAGGAGACCGGATAGAGTGAATGCAGGTCCGGGGAGATCGGTTATAGTGAATGCAGGGTCCGGGGAGGACCGGATATAGTGAATGCAGAGTCCGGGGAGAAAGAGCGGATATAGTGGAATGCAGGGTTCCGGGGAGAGCGGATATAGTGAATGCAGGGTCCGGGAGAGCGGGTGAATGCAGGGTCCGGGAGAGCGGATATAGTGAATGCAGGGTCCGGGGAGACCGGTTATAGTGAATGCAGGATCCGGGTTGGAGACCGGATATAGTGAATGCAGGGTCCGGGGAGACCAGATATAGTGAATGCAGGGGTCCTGGGTTTAGCAACACTTTAATTACAAGGGGACTAATAAAAGGAGTCTTGCATTTTAGATGCATTTAAAAAAATCCTAAAAAAGTTAAAATCTCATCTCTCTTATTTCAAATAACACCGCTGAAACGCTATAAAATTTTTGAAATCATTTTTAGGAAGTTTTTGATCTACAAATGTTTTTATTTTTTTGCATAATTTTGTAAAAGTGGACCAAAAGTGTTCCATGAAAGACTTTAGTAAACCATACAAGAACAAGTCTGTGAAGGTTCTCATTTATCCAGGCCATAGTATATCTAGTAACCGTTGGTCCCATTTAACTGGACTTGTTCTGTATTGTTACCAACATTTCCTAGCTGATCCAAACACACTTGTTCGGCACTCATTAGAACAGAAGAAGCTGCATGGATAAGCAGTGAAACGTCTTCAACATTGCGGAACAAGTCCACTTGAATGTGACCGAATACTACCAGCCATACAAGAACACCTAGAAATCGTGTATACGTTTTCCATCCACAGAACCTTTTATATATTCTTAGTGTGTACCTGTGTCATTTTTGGTTATGACATTGTCCTCATTGACTGAGCTGAAGGTTGCTGCCTGTGCATGAGGTATGGTGAACTCATGACTTTTGATCCTTGCATGACTGTTTCCCATTTGAACACTGTGGCTTGGTTGTGCAGGGTCAGAGTAAAGATGTAC